TCAGAGTATTCCACACAGATTCCCACTTTCTGTGCTGCATTGAGAAAAGATGCCACACCATAATTCCCATAATCTGTATCCGAGCGTACAACACCTATCCAAGTCCATCCAAAGTGTTTCACCAGCTTGGCCAGTGCATCAGCCTGGAACTGGTCACTGGGAATTGTTCTGAAAAAAGTTGGGTACTGCTGCTTATCTGACAGACAGGCACACGTGGCAAAGTAACTGACCTACAAGAAAAAAAAATATTTTGGTAGAAAAAAGAACTATTAACAAATCACCAAGTATACTTTTGTAATTTATCTAATGAAAATTCAGAACTGCTACCAGCGGGATGTTAAATGACCCGATGATGCGAGACATGCTGATGGATGGAGTAGATCCAGAGTCTCCAACAACAGCCACCACCCCACCAGACTGTGAACAACTGCTGTCCTTGTCAATCGCAGAGTCCCAACCATTTAACAGCTGGAATGCAGAGTGGACTGCAACTGGTACCGAGGCGCAGGAGTCATATATCTGATATCCAAGTTTGATGCCTGGCAGCAGCTCTGTGCTGTTGTTTATCTCATTGATGGCAAAGATCATTGTTCGAGAAAAGCGCAGTTGTCTGGAAATAAGGCTGCAGAAAATCTGAATGGTTAGTGCAGAAATTTACGTAATAAAGGATGGAAAAATAGGAGAAGGCAGGCAAATCACCAACATAACAACCACAAAGCTAAATAAATAAGTGATGTAGCATTCTGTGAGTATAACAAGAATACATCAAAGTTCAATTAAAATGTAGTTAAAATAAAGTAGATGAGGAGATCACACAACTGTCATAGAAATCTGACTTTTCTTCAGCCACTTCTTCCTCTCACTAACCTCCCTGTGCATCTTAGAGACTCGGGCTTGGTGCTGTAGTCATTAACCACTGTGTGCAGTTTGTAGTGTAAAAAGAAAACACCTCCAATAACAAAGTCTCCATCTGCTGCGAATGCAGGTAAAAGAGGGCTATTCTGCAGGATGCACTTGTTTGAAGAAGCCTCGATACTGACACCAGCAGCAGTTTGATTCTCTGAAGGTTCAATCTTTTGTTTTGTATCATTCAGAGACACAGCAAATACAACAGATGTCAGCTCCAGCAAGTGAAGGCCAATAAAGACAAGTCTGGTCTCCATTCTACACCTGACTGTATTACAGCTGAAGTGTGCTCTTATTGTTTGATCTGCACCTTCGATTATATGTCGTCATGTTTATCTGAACCAAGATGCTCCCACCCACCTATATTTGTATCTTTTAATGACTTCTGTGAATTTCAGTTGTCCGTTTTTTAATAGCTTAATTACTAAGATGAAATTGAGTGTTACTGATTTGAACGTTTGTTTTAAATGGATATTTTTGGTCTGCATTTTGGTTAAATGCAATTTTCAATACTGAATTTTGAAATAATCCATAAAGAGGTCATTCACTCATTATTTGAAGTGGTCTTTAGTAGAAATAAATGTTTTTTCTTTACTGTGGGGGAAAAAAAGATCTAGTGTGCCTGTTTCAGCACGGATAATTCAGCCAGAGGAAAAAGTAGCTTCAGACAGCAGGATCTAGAGTCTTATCTCCTGATATCTGAACGTCTTACCTCTTCTAAAAGGCCTCATATTTGTTCAGTATATGAAACAGACAGAAATCATTCAAGTAATCTAAATGAAAATATAACTAATTTAATAAATGTATATATAGTCAAGGAAGAGACCCCTGCTTATTTTGTCAACTTCCAAAATAACAATGTTTGCCACCAATATTTTTCAACAACTGGACATCTTTTTATTCATTTTCAACAACATTTAGGTGGATTTTTCCTGAGATTAAAGGTGAAACTACACATTGTCACTTTAATGTATTTTAACTTCTAAAAAGCCATGCCAAAATATACAGTTTCAAATCAAATCAAAGATACTTTATTAACCCCAGAGGGAAATTAGAGTTTCAGTACACACAATTCAGAGAACAGACATACATGGGCAAGACACTGGACAAGAATTGGTGACTGTGGTCATTCGCAACCCTGAGTCGCGCTACCTTAATAGAGATGAGAGGGTTACATGAGGATTGGTTCAGGTGGAGGGAAAAAAAGGCACTTCAGAGTTACCCTCCCACTAGGGGTTGTATGAACTAGTCGACTAGTCGACTTCACGGATCTGTAGTGACTTTTTATGCCTGTCATTGACTAGTCGCTGTCACGTGATAATGACTGACAAGATGCAGTCCTCGGAAAAGACAGCAGGTGATGAGCCCCTGCGTCGGGAGGCGGAGGCGACGCGCTGCGCCATAGCGTCGGTACTGACACCGGCAGTAAAACCGACATTTGACCAAACTGTGACCTTTTCCCTCTTGCAATTTTACCTTCCCCTCACCCCATCCTAATCTTAACCAGTTTGCACATGCAAAGCTCTGATCGTTGATGTGCTCCAGACATCTGCGTCCTGAGCACCGACAAATCAGGTGTCACCACCTCAAAATCAAATTAAACAAGCGATTGTTCATGTCGGCTCATTTCCTTTCATGTTTTCAGTCTGTTATTTGTGCCTGATGCGTTTCACTGCTGCGGAGCGAGGCACATCACCTATTTTGTTCTCCGGTGACGCACCGCCAAAATTCCACTATCTCTGCTCCGCTCCGGCACGAACTCCACAGCAAAAATAGTCCTGTTGTAGTCAGGGCGAGCAGCGGCACTCCGCTGTTTTTGAGGTCGGTAGATCTTTTAGAACTGCAGTTCAAAGGTAACTCATAAGGTGAAAATAAATGAACCCAGGTAGCAGTTTTTCTTTAGGACTGAGAGGAGATGCAGGAAGATAATAAACAGGCAGGACAGAAAAATAGTCAAAAACAAGTTAGTTTTTGTACCTGGTGGATGCAACAAACAGACACCATTGAAGGTAATCAGAAGTGAGGAACATAAAAGGAAATAATTATTTTAATGTCTAGAACAGCAGGAACTCTGAGAGGCTGCAGGCGCATCAGTGAATTTGCGGTCGCTGCGCAGGGGGAGGGGGGAGAGGGCTGAAGCAGAAACTACCATTGTTAAAAGAGATGTGTTAACTTAGAAAATGTGGGCGCAATTTTAATTGTTAAAAACTCCTACTTGACTGTCGACTTTAAAAAAAATTAAGTCATGCAACCCCTACCTCCCACCAGGAGGGCAGCTTTGCTCTGCAAAAAAACACCTCAGACAGATATGCAACAGACTTCAGACAACACAACATAAGTGTCCACTAGGAGGGGTGGTGGGTTGGGACTATCCCAACTTCAGTTCCTGCAGCCACGATGAAGCAGTGCCTGTCACCTCAGTGTGGATAGGGGAGGAGCATTGAGGGTTGTAGGGTTGCAGTGACCCTGGATGCTTCAGCGGGCTTCCCGCAGTCCCGTCCAGGCTGGGAAAGGAGACAGTGTTGAGTTGCCATACCGACGGCACATTCCACATATCTTCGGGGGGGTCTTTGGAGCCTTGCAGGCCCAAGGGCGCAAGATTCCGATTAGAAATTGTTTTGGGGCCAGACAGAGATAATTTCCTCTCTGTCTTACAGTTTGTTGGTCCTCAACCTCTCAGAATCCCAATAATGGTCATTAAACTATCCCAATCTGTGCTGATTTGTCCTCTCTCTCTTTGATGGCATCCATCTTTTGTGCCAATAATGAATCTCGGCCTAAGTCCCAAGCTTATGATTCATCTCGACAATTATTTGAGTCTGTGAATTCACAGCGTGGTGCAAACCATCTCTGAGCTCCGGGATCAGGCCAATATTCCTCGACAGCTCGTTCATGTTCCGGTAAGCCAGGTAGCCTCCAATGCCAATGAGCAGGAAACCTGACACAGACACCATGAATATCCACACGTCTTCAGAGTCCTCCACAGACAGCTGAGAAAGACAGATCAAGTTCCACTGTTTCTAGGAGTCCATGATGTGTCCAACTGGGTCTGTTCCTGCGGGGCATCCGGGAGCCCCTTCTCCCGTTCTCATCGTTGAAAAAAATGTATCAATCACGTTGAGAGACCAGCTGACGAGATCCATTTGAGTGAATTTCAGTTTTCCAGTTTACAGAAAAATGCAGAAGCAGCCGTGCACCCAGCACACAGAGACAGACAAAGGCCTAGAGGATAAGATATGGAGGAGAGGAGGAAAAAAGTGTCTGCACCCGCCAAGAGTCGGAAGAAGAGTCATGTCCTGTGTCCTGTCTCCTTGTGCATTCCATGTTTTCTTCCTCTTCATAGGTGTCCTTGTATTTCCTGCCCCCTAAAGTTTCATTTTGCCCTCATATATTCAGTTCCCAGTTCAGCCATTTTGGTTTATAGTTCTAGCATTCTTGGTATTCATCCATTCTCTTCCGCATATCCAGAGTTGGGATGTGGGGGCAACAGACTAAGTGGAGAGGCCCAGACTTCCTTCTCTCCAGCCACTTGGGCCAGCTTTTCAGGGGAAGTCCAAGATGTTCCCTGGCCAGGCCAGAGACATAGGGTGTTTCTCAATGTCAAGGTGCCTGGCCTTGCAAGGCGATGTCTTGCAAGGCCAGGCACCTTGCTTACGAGTATACTGTCCTTCCTTGGACAAAGAAAATGGTTAAATGGAACAGACTTGCATCACGTGACCGTGGCTTCCATGGCGGTCACGTAATGTCACGTGACATGAGAGACAACGTCATATTTTATACGTATTAGTGTCAATATAAATATATAATGAGCTTTTACTTTTTAAATTGTGTTTATGTTTATTAAATTAAAAATATAAGTGAGTTACTATCTGCTAGCCACCAAAACTGACTACTGGACAACTACTAAGCAACTAACCAACAATAGATAACTTCTTTGGATCTAAAAAAAACATTTTAAATTAGTTGACTTACTTTTAAATTCGAAAATTGTACTCAAAGTAGCTGCTGGCTTCTGATCTGCCGTCCTTTTTAAAATACAGTGGTGTATTCTGGGTAATTTTTGACCAAGGCTAGGCTACAAGTCACCTCCCATGTATCCTCACTCAACTAGCTAAACGGCTAACAAACGGAGAACACACGCCTCAGTAGAATATGAACATTGGAACATGTCTTGGTGCCTCCCGATGATGTATTTCCAAGGCAACCGGGGTGGGGCCAAGACATCATGGCAAGGTTCCTTGGCATTGAGAAACACCCATAGTCCCTCCGACATGTTCTGTTCCTATTTCCCCAGAGTAGCTCTCCCACTGTTATAGATTCTGTTATCCTCACTAGCCATCCTTCCTGTTTTATTATATTTTTCTTCCAGCCTTTGAGTTTCTACTTTTGGGTTATTGTGTTTAGTTCTGTTATGCTTAATCTTTAGCTATTGTTATTTGGTTACCGGTATATTCATTTATTCACCAGTTGTTGTCTTTGAGGTTCTTTTTTAAAATGTTTTTCTAATTTTTTATTCTCCCTGTGTCTTATTGAGTTTTAGCTGTTAGTTTTTGGGAATTTTGTTGTATTTTCCTTTTTATGTTTTATCTGTGTTTGACATGTTTGTATACCGCCTGTTTAATTAACTAACATTTTTTGTGTACACCGCCTTGTTTGGTTGTAATGCCTTGTGAATGCGCTTTATAAATAAAATTGGATTGGATTGGATTGGATTTTACCTCTCTACCCCCAGAGCTAATTACTTACACCTGCCCATCATCATCATCAATATTCATCACACCTGTGCCTTGTCTTGACTAGCATCCTCAGTGTATTTAAGCCTGCTCTCTTCATTGTTCTCTGTTGGTTCTGTGTGCTGCATTTTTACTATGCTCCCCATGCTCCTGTCATGGTGGGGTTCAGGCTATAACCCAATCGCAAGAATAATAGTCCTGTACCTGAGTTCAAAGAGTTTAATAACAAAAATTCCTCCACTGACTGTGGGAATCAAAAACAGGAAACATGGCTTGCATGAACACCAGTTCCACAAACTCGACAAACAGTCAACACAACGCCACGCTGAGGACTGGCAGCAGTGGCCTGAAATAGGGTGAGAACAAGCTGGGTCATTTGGTTCAGCTGCAAAAACTCCAGGAGGTTCACCAGGAAGGGGAGGGCTCCTGAGAGGAGCTGCAGCTGACCTGAAACAAAATAACAGGGGTAAAACAATCACTAAACCAAACAAAAAGGGGTGAATCATAACAGCTCCCCATGCTCCCCATGTTCCTCCATTAAACGATTTATAACTTATTCACCTGGCTGCATTTGGGTCTGATTCCAACAACCAAGTCTTGACACAATTTGTTTTCTGTTTCCCTTTACCAGTTACATAACTTGAAAATGTCAGAATTAAACTGGAGATGCTATTTTCAAAAATTGCTGTACATAATATTTGCAACTGAAAGTAAAAGAAGCGTTTATAAAATAATTAATCAAAAAACATAAGAACTTATGACAACTGTAGAAATGAAATGAGAGATAATAGCTAAATATAATTTTAAAATATCATCTACAAACATGTGTATTGCTATGGCTGGAAAATAGGTCAAATTTACACACTTTTAATGTTACACAAACATTTTATTTCGGGTGGCAAAATATGTGACAAAAAGAAAACCACTAAAGCAAAATTATTAGAACCGTTTTTGAGATGTTCAAAGATTTATTTTTATGGTAAAAATAGGATTACAGAGCTTTCTAAAATATTTACAAGGAGTGTTTACTTTTATTGGGACAATTTCATTATCTAATATTTCAAACTTCCAACATAACACATTTAGTTTTTGTTCATTAAATATTTCTTAGAGTTCTTCTCAGGCTGAAATAAGATGATGAAACACTTTGGAGCAAAAATACACAGAATCAGTCCAAAACTGGAGGCCAGAATAGCAAATATCTCCACAGCTACAGTAAATTTTCCAGGAGAGCTGACATATGCTGGGATGAAGGTGAGCCACACTGCACAGAATATCAGCATGCTGAAGGTTATCAGCTTGGCTTCATTAAAATTATCAGGTAGTTTCCGAGCTAGAACAGCTAACACAAAGCAGAAAACAGCCAGCAGGCCAATGTACCCGAGCACAGCCCAGAACCCAACAGCAGAACCTAATGCACATTCCAGGATGATCTTCTCCTTGTATGTGCTCAGATTCTTCATTGGGAATGGAGGGCTGAGTAACAACCACACAGTACAGATAAGAACTTGAATAAAAGTAACAAAAACAACAGTCATTCTTTGCTGTGGAGGCCCAAACCATTTCATGGCATTACTACCTGGAAGTGTAGCTTTAAAGGCCATTAAAACCACTACAGTTTTGCCAAGAACACAGGAGATACAGAGAACAAAGGTGATACCAAACGCTGTGTGTCGCAGCATGCAGGACCAATCAGAGGGAGCTCCGATGAAAGTTAATGAACATAAGAAACACAGAGTCAGAGAGAAGAGCAGCAGGAAGCTCAGCTCAGAGTTGTTGGCTCTGACAATTGGAGTTGTTCTGTGATGAAAGAAAATAGCTGCTGTTATGATGGCCAGACAGGCCCCACTAACAGAGAATGCAGCCAGGATGATTGCCAGGACTTCATCATAGGAAAGAAACTCCACAGGTTTGGGGAAACAAGCGTCTCTTTGTGCATTAGGCCACGATTCACTGGGACACGGGAAACAGTCTGGAGAATCTGAATAAATTTTAAAAAATTGTTTAAACATAAATCACACTGATTCACAAATATATTTATTTATGTGCAACGTTATTGATTGTACCTGTCGTGTTACTAATCTCTCCTTCAGGACATGGTATACAATCATAGCAGCAGATGGGTTTTCCTTTCTGCAGGACTTTATGAGTTCCTGGAGGACAACTCTCAGAGCACACTGATACTGGGACCTGATGCAGAGATGTGAATATCTTTTAAACTTTTGCTAGAAGTCATGAAACAATTACAGGCATAACTTTCAGAATTCTGCTCCTTACTTGTGTGCCACCATCCATCCAGGTTATTTTTCTCTTGATCTGAAACTCCTGTCCTTTAGGCAGTGATGCATCATAGTACCCTACTGTTACCAGCTCAATAACTCCACTCTCACTCTTCTGCCAGTTGACCAGCTCATAAAAAGCTACAGGATCTCCGTTAGCATCAAATGACACAGGATAACCATTTTTTGAAATGTTGATTTTCTTCATTACAGATAGAAACTGTAAAAACAATAGTACAAGTAGAACAAAGTCCAGAAATGACTAATCAAACCTAAAAGTAGTTTTTTAATGAGGATGTTTTTGTATTTGCAATCACCTGTTTGTAATTTATACTAACATCTTTTTCACACTGAGTGGTAAAGTTTGTTTCCTGGCACACTGCATTGTGAATAGCATGAGCTATAGCATAAACAGCCTTGTACACCATGTTAGTGATCCTTATCTGAGATGTATCAGTGTACGGGCTGTTCAGTGTCTCCATGTCTTCAGTTCCATCACACACTCTTTTGTCTGATTCCACTCCTAAAAAATTAAGACAAAAGATTGTTTATGAACCAAATTATATCTTAAATTATACTTAAATTTAATGTGGATGATCAAAATGTAACTGTCCTGCCAATATAAAGTTAGTGGTAGGACATTATCACAATCACCCTCTCACTTTCTGCCAAGCTGCAGTTGAACGCATCCTCCCAGAACTCAGTAAACACAGAGGAGGCAGCTGCTTCAGAGGGAGAAAGATCCAGCAGGAACTCTCTCAGACCTGGGATGACGGATTGCTGGATAGCAAACCCGATGGCTCCTGCACAGAAACTGTAAGCCATCAGTTGAGGGTCAGTGATCCAGTCCTCACTTCCGATCCACTGGCGAGGTTGTGGAGGCTCCTGGGCCAGCTCTTCTAAAAGAACAGTCAAATCTCCAGACTCCATGAATGCAACAATAATCCGTGCTGTTGACCTGCAGGGAAAACAAAATGCTTTGTCTTAATTAATATAATTCAAAATATTAAAGAAAATGCTGCATTTTATTTGCAAATTCACCTGAAGGATGATAAAAAGAAGACTCAGCAATTACAGATAAATAAAATTAAAATAAACTAGAAGTTACATCATGCACAATGGTAAAACTCATCATGTAAACTTAATAACAGGCATGGTGCACACTTTCTGGTGAGTTAGAATTCACGTTTAACCATTTGAGTTTGGATTTAAACATGGTGCTCAAGTGTGTTATGTGTGGGGAGAGGGAGTTCCATTGGTGCTGAGCAGCTGGAAGCTCGAGCACCCATGGAACTGAGGCTTGATGAGGGAATGGTTATTAATAATAATAATAATAATAATAATAATATAATATAATAATATACTACTAATAATAATGGATTTGATTCATATAGAACGTTTCAAGGCATCCAAAGTTCTTTCCATAATTCTTGCACTCACACACTGCCGATGATGGTAAGCTACTATATAGTCACACACGCCCTGGGGTGGTCTGACAGAGGCGAGGCTGCCATTTCACACCATCGGCCCCTCTGACCACCACCAACATAGGCAAGGTGAAGGTGAAGTGTCTTGCCCAAGGACACAGCAGCAGAATACCTCTGGCAGGAGCTGGAAACGAGCCCATGGCCCTCCGATCATGAGGCAACCCGCTCTACCTCCTGACCTACTGTTAGAACTCAAGCAGAATCTGAACAGAGTGTGCTATCAGATGTTAATTTATAGTATTTTATATTTCTACGAGCCTTCATGTAAACACCAGGAACACAATCAACATAATGGTATTGAAATTGAACAAGTGCACACATATAAATTTTTAGGAATTACCATAGATGGAAAACTGAGTTGGAAGCCTCATATAGATGATATAAAGTTAAAAATATCAAAAAAAAATATATATATATATATAGGACTTGTGAGTAGAATGAGATTTGTTTTAGATATTAAATCCCTTCAGATACTCTATAACTAATTTATTTTACCATATCTGAGCTATGGTGTTGAAATATTGGGAAATAATTACAGAGCAAATAATTATCCCATATATTTACTTCAAAAAATGGTAGTTTGAATAATTTCCCATGCTAGCTATTATGCACCAACAAACCCTATCTTTATCCATTTAAAAATTCTAAAATTTCATGAAATTATTGACTTGCATACACTGGCCGTAGCATATCAGGCTCATCTTCCACCTTATCTCCAAAGGAAGGAGGATATAGTCTAAGAGGAACTGGGATTTTCAAAAAAAATAATAATAATAAAGAATATTACAACCAATAAAAAAAAAGATTTATCCCAGTAAGAGGAGTGAGTTTATGGAATAGCCTCGAGGATAGATTAAAAGATTCATGCTCGTTGTAAATATTCAAAAAGAGTTTTAAAAATAACGCCTTACACAATTACCAAGTACACCAAAATTAGTTTCGTCTGACGTTTATACCTCTTGATTGATTTTGTTGAAATTAGGATGATGCATGTAATAACTGTATTGTTTACATGTTTATTTACTTTTGATATTCATGGCACTGTTGATTTTTTGTAATGAATTAATGGGTAGGCTTAAATAAGTTTAACTTCAGCCTATACCTTTTCGTTCATAAATTATATCTAAAGAAACTGTTTAATTTATAAGAGGAAGTTGTGCTTGTGATAATGATTATTATTATTATGATCTTTATTAGATAATTTCCTTTTCATGTGTTTTATATGTATCGTTATGACAGAAAAATAAATACAAATACAAATTATTGTGAAAACCTGCGGATGACATCAGCTACCCTCTGGATCTTCCTGTGTGGGTCGGTCCGATAGAAGGATTCTGAGTATTCCACACAGATTCCCTCTCTCTGTGCTGCAGCAAGAAAAGACGCCATGCCATAGTTTCCATAATCTGTATCAGAGTGGACAGCTCCTATCCAAGTCCAGCCAAAGTGTTTCACCAGCTTGGCCAGTGCATCAGCCTGGAACTGGTCACTGGGAATTGTTCTGAAAAAAGTTGGGAACTGCTGCTTGTCTGACAGACAGGAACATGTGGCAAAGTAACTGACCTATAAGAATAAGAAAAGCATTTACAAATAAGCATATATATATTAAATTTGCAGCCAAAAGTAAATTCTGAAATCCTACCAGTGGGATGTTAAAGGACCCGATGATGCGAGAGATGCTGATGGATGTCGTAGAGCCAGAGTCTCCAACAACAGCCATCATCTCACCAGACTGGGAACAATTTCTGCTTTTGTAAAACGCAGCGTCCTGACCATTTAACATTTGAAATGAAATATGTGAAGCCATGAGGACCGATGCACAAGAATCATAGATCTGATATCCGAGTTTGATGCCTGGCAGCAGCTCGGTGCTGTTGTTGATCTCCTCGATGGCAAAGATCATTGCAGATGAGAAAGTAAGTTCTGCGGCAATAAGACTGTACAGAATCAAAGCGGTTAGTGCTTACATGAAAATAAAACAGAAGTAAAAGTGACAGAATAACATGTAGTAATAAAAAATCTGAAAACATTTCATTCACAGAATAACTATATTAGTAACACAAAGATTGTGTACATTTCTAACTAAAATGTAGCAAAAAGCCTGATAAAAAGTTCAAATGACAAAGTTTTTCAACAGCAAAGCAACATTTTATGGAAATCCCATCATTTTTATGCACATTCTTTTCAACCTGATCATACTCTCACTGACCTCCCTGTGCATCTTAGAGGCTCAGGCTTGGTGCTGTAGTCATTAATCTTTATGTGTAGTTTGTCGTGTAAAATGAAAACACCTCCGATAACAAAGTCCCCATCTACTGAGAATGCAGGTAAGATGGGGGGATTCAGCAAGCTGCATTCAGCTGAATCGTCAGTACTGACATCTGCTAAAGTCTGATTCACTGAAAGTTCAATCGTTTGTCTCACACCATCCAGAGGCACGGCTAACACAGCAACAGACGTCAGCTCTAACAAGCACACTGTTAAATTCAAGCCAATAAAAACAAATCTGGTCTCCATTCCTCACCTGACTGCATTTCAGTTTATGCATGCTTTTTATTATGTGCACACCCTTTATTATACGTCAGGATGCTAATCAGAAACAAGATGCTGCCACCTATGGATCTATAAATGCATTATTGAATGACATATTTTAGTTTCAAGGATGTTTTTTCTTGTCTCAATCCATTTTGTATAGTAAAAATGTTTCTATTTTTCCTTTTCTTTGTTGAAGTTAGTATACAAAACAAGTTATACCTGTTTAAGCTTGGTTTATGCTTAATGCATTTACTTTCCGCTTGGTGATGCGGCTCACGGCTGGAATGCGCTTCACAACTTGCAGCATTTATGGTTCATGCAACTTGTCTCTGCGGTGAGCCAATATTCTCCCAAACTGTAGGGGGCAGCATGGAGCTCTACGGCATGCATCCAACACTACACCATAGTAGAAGTAAAGACTGTTGTTTACAACATGGCATTCCAGCATTTTTAACAGCGTCCTCGTCTTTTCCGACACTGCTAGCTATTTCTCTCCAAGAATTATTAACAACATGTTGATCACGGTGATCTTTGAGAGCTGAATCATACAAATGTCTGTATTTACGAACCTCTGCCACACTAGTTCTTGCCGGTCCGCCATGTTTTTCTGCGTCCGTCCGTCTGCGTGGTTAGAAAATTTCCTAAAGGTTGGTTTATGCTTGACGCGTCCGCGAGGTCCGCACGGAAAAGTTGAGTCATTTTAACAACCACGCCCCTCCACTACACCTCCGCACGGCCCAAAATTTCCACAACGCGCACCTAGGAAATTTTCTAACCAAGCGGACGGTTGGACACGGAAAAACATGGCGGACCGGCAAGAACTAATATGGCAGAGGTTCGTAAATACAGACATATGTATGATTCAGCTCTCAAAGATCGCCGTGATCAACATGTTGTTAATAATTCTTGGAGAGAAATAGCTCGCACTGTCGGAAAAGACGAGGACACTGTTAAAAAAGGCTGGAATGCCAACAACAGTAATTTTTACTTCTACTACGGTTTAGTGATGGATGCATGCCGTAGAGCTCCATGCTGTCCCCTACAGTTTGAGAGAATATTGGCTCACCGCACAGACAAGCTGCATGAACCATAAACGCTGCGAGTTGTGAAGCGCATTCCAGCCGCGAGCCGCATCACCAAGCGGAAAGTGAATGCGTCAAGCATAAACCAAGCTTAAGTGCGCGGTGCGGAAAGTTTGGGCCGTGGGGAGGCGTGGTGGAGGGGCGTGGTTGTTAAAATGACGCAATTTTGCCGGGCGGAGCCGTGCGAACCTCGCGGATGCGTCAAGCATAAACCAAGCTTTACCTGTCCTAGCTTTCAGTATAATATTGTACCCTTTATGATTTGGCTTTGTTGTGATTAAATATTTTAGATTTTCAATCATTCAGTTCTTTTGGAAAAGTTCTAATAAACAAACAATATTTGTCTGTATTTTTGTTAAATACTGTTTTCATGAGTGGAGTAGTAAAAAATGCAATTATTTATAATGTGTTTGAAAGACAATGTGAACAAACTTTGGACTCCTTAGCACCATTCAGAGAAGCTATTGCAGCTACGGTTGCCCACACACATCAAAGGCAGTGTGTCATGGTGGCAGTGCACACACGGTGGTAGGGAAGTGGGAGACATCGTAGCACTGACAGCTACTTCTGGTGTCACACAAAGAAAGCACCACACACCAACTTTCATCCATCTGCTATTTGTATTTACTGTTTCTCTTGCTCTGCTGATTCCTGCAGTAATTGTTGCTATCAGGGAATCGAGAGCAGTCCGTCCGTATCCTGTGAATGTATGTAGAATGGGCCTGATTGGTCAGTTTCAGCAGCTTTGTCTTCTGGCTCACGCAATGTCGCTACACCACGTCTGTTGCGTCACTCGTGTCTCTCTCCTCTGCAGCCGTGTGCGCACCATCACATTTAAACAACCCCCCGATTTCATTCCAGTGATCACATGAAGTTAGAGCACGACAACCAATCCAAGGGGAAGGAGCAGAATTTCCTTAAACCAGCAAGGCTGCCCCAACGAGAAATGGCGCCAACCCCTGCACAATGTTTAAAGGGAGAAGAAGAACTTTCATGTTAAAGTGCCAACATGAAACACGGAGCTGTCACGATGGGGAGCCAAGAGGAGGTTAGGACCCAAAGATGCAGAGAACCAGATGACAACGAGTGGAGCGATAACGTAAAATGCTTTTATTAAGAATAAATCCAAAAAAGGCAGGGAGCCAAAAAACAACATTCTAAAGTCCCAAATAACAAAACCTGGAATATCCAAAAAACGAAGATCCAAATCTAGAGAGGGGAGCAAGACAAAGGTGACAACGACAATGACCCAACAACAGATAGAGACGCAGACAGGGTTATACACACTAAGGCATGATGGGAGGCAGATAGGCTGCAGGTGTGTGGGGAGAGAAACCAAGTGAAAGCAATTAACTAATCAGGGAGGAAACTAACATGACCTAAGAGTAAAACCTAAAGACAAGAAAAGCCAGCAAAAATAACTAATATTCTAAGGGGGAAGAAAACTACAAAAACCTGTGGGGAAACATACTAAAGAGACTAATAAAATGAAAAGCTGAACCTAGAAAAACTGCAGAGAGGTGACTGGGGGAAAACGAAGGAACACAGGATCTGGGAGGGATAATCTGGAGGGCTGCAAACCAGGAGACACAAAAGCCCCCTTCAGACAGGCCATGAAAAACAGAAATGTTCAGGACTCTGTCCGCAAGACCTTTGTGTCTGAATACAAACATCTGGATAACGTTTTCCGTAATTAAAGTGGACGATGCCCCTAGTAACAGGACCGGACTTGTTACGGACAAGGTGGCTGCTTCAGACTGGTGAGGTCGAATTCCGGACAGGGAGGAGGAGGGGACCGGGGGGACACTGTGCGCTCCTAGATAGCTCGCTCCTGTAGCATGCGGCAAACCATGGCATCTCGCCTCCTACGGTACCGTCTTCCACGATTCCTTTAACCATTGAGCTTCATCATCCAGGTCTTATGCGTCTTCGTGTGCGCAGAATTATGCTTAACATAAGTCCGATCTCCCCCCCCCCCGGACATCTGGAACCTTTCCCTGCTGTGTGAAGGCAGCCGAAAGGACAAGTTCCGGTACAAAAATGGTGTGTCTGAAAACACATTTACGGTTAAAAACCGGACTGAATTGTCCACACATATTCCAGAATGTCTATCTGAAAAGGGCTAAAGAGATACAAAAGGGGATCCTTAGAGGGGGATGGAGCACACAAGGAGACACATGAGGGAGACGCAGACTCAGACCATGACAGGAGTTTTATCTTGTACATCCTTAAACAGTTACGGTATTTCAAGATGGCGCATGATTATGGAGTGTCGACCACAGTATATGTACAGCGGGGCGAAAAAGTTTAGTCAGCCCACAATTGTGCAAGTTTTCCCACTTAAAAAGATGAGAGACCTGTAATTTTCATCATAGGCATACCTCGACTATGAGAAACAAAATAATACAATTCAGAACATCACATTGTCAGAGTTCTAAAGAAAATCAAAATTTCCCCACTTTATTTTAAAAGTTTCAAGCTAATGGGAATATTTAGAATCTACATTAGTGAAATATTACAGTAAAAGGACAAGTTTGTGAACGGCTACAAAAAATTTGATAGTAAACTAGTAAAATTATAACACACTGTGGCTTAGGTGCCACCCTGTAGAGTAGCAGTGCTCAGGCATAGAGATAGGGTGAGAAGCTTCATCATCCAGGGGGAGCTCAGAGTCCTCTCCATCAAAATAAGTCAGCTGAGGTGGTTTGGGGATCTGATTAGTAGGCATCCTGGTTGCTTAGTCATGGAAATTCCCCCAGGCATCTCATCAATTCCCTTGTGTGTCGGTGCATTCAAGACCACCAGTTAGCTATTAGATTTAGGATAGGTGTTGAATTAGATTTTCTGAATGTACACTGCACAAAAAAAAAACCAAATAGCAGGTGGAAATTAAAGGCAGCTAGCAAGGCATCCCCAACAAAGGAGTGGTTCTGTAGGTGGTGACCACAGACCAATTCTCAGTTCCAATGCTTTCTGGCTGATATTAAGGTCACTTTGAATGTTGGTGGTGCTTTCAATCCAGTGGTAGCTTTTTCAGCTTTTCTCTCTTACACCTGAAGGACAAGGGACACACTTTTGAACATGACAAAGTACACATTCTGGACAGATAAGATGGATGGTTTGAGAGAGGAGTAAAGGAACCAATCTATGTCAAACGTGAAAAACCCCACTTTAAATAGGGGTGGGGGGCTTGGGTTTCACCTTTCCAGTACCTTTAATGCAGCTTTGAATCTCATCTCTAAGCAGTTTCAGTCTAGAACACACCTTCCTGCATCCAACCAACACAACTCTCTCTCAACAGAGGCTAACAGCTCATCGGGGGTAGAGAGGATGGGTATTCAGAGTAGTTTCTGCTTGTTGAATAACAATAGACCGCTACAGCTTATAAGCTTGACTCTACCATATCCCAATCAGAATTGACAAAGCTCCTTGAATAAGAAGCAAAATGATACCAAAGAAGTCCAGTTGAATTCATTTGAACTCTGTTGGATTACCATGATTTTAACCTTCACCAGCATTCTCCGATGAAAGTAAATTTTGCATTGTCTTTAGAAATCAAAGTCCCAGAGTCTGGAGGAAGAGAGGAGAGGCACATAATCTATGCTGTTTGAGGTCCAGTGAAAAATTTCCACAGTCAGTGATGGTTTGGGGTGCAATGTCCTCTGCTGGTGTTGGTCCATTGTGTTTTCTGGGGTCCAAGGTCAACACAGCCGTCTACCAGGAAGTTTTAGAACATTTCATGCTTCCTGCTGCTGACCAACTTTATGGAGATGCAGATTTCATTTTCCAACAGGACTTGGAACCTGCACACAGTGCTAAAGCTACCAGTACCTGGTGTAAGGACCATGGTATCCCTTTTTTTGACTGGCCAGCCAACCCGTCTGACCTTAACCCCATAAAAATATTGGATATTGAGAAGAGGAAGATGCAATATGCAAGAACCAACTATTCAGAAGAGCTGAAGGCCACTATCAGAGCAATTTGGATTTACATAACACCTGAGAAGTACCACAGACTGATCAAATGTGTGCCATGCCCCATTGCTGCAGTGATCCAGGCCAAAGGAACCCAAACTAAATATTAAGTGCTGCACGTGTTAATATTTTTCAGTTGGCCAACATTTCTAAAACTCCTTTTTTGGATTAGTTTTAATTGATAATCAAATATTCTAAAATACAGAATTTTCATTCATTCTTAGTTATAATTATAAACATTGAAAGAAGAATGGATTTGTGTGTAACGAATTCATTTGAAATTTAAATTTCACTTTTTAAATGGGATTGTTGTATTAAATCAAATTTGTCATGATATTCTAATTTTATGACCAGTACATGTATATCTTTATTTTTTACTCATGAATGATTTCTTAGAGTTCTTCTCAGGCTGAAATAAGATGATGAAACACTTTGGAGCAAATATACACAGAATCAGCCCAAAACTGGAGGCCAGAATAGCAAATATCTCCACAGCTACAGTAAATTTCCCAGGAGAGCTGACATATGCTGGGATGAAGGTGAGCCACACTGCACAGAATATCAGCATGCTGAAGGTTATCAGCTTGGCTTCATTAAAATTATCAGGTAGTTTCCGAGCTAGAACAGCTAACACAAAGCAGAAAACAGCCAGCAGGCCAATGTACCCGAGCACAGCCCAGAACCCAACAGCAGAACCTAATGCACATTCCAGGATGATCTTCTCCTTGTATGTGCTCAGATTCTTCATTGGGAATGGAGGGCTGAGTAACAACCACACCGTACAGATTATGATTTGAATTAAAGTAAAAAACACAACAGTCATTCTTTGCTGTGGAGGCCCAAACCATTTCATGACATTACTACCTGGAAGTGTAGCTTTAAAGGCCATTAAAACCACTACAGTTTTGCCAAGAACACAGGAGATACAGAGAACAAAGGTGATACCAAACGCTGTGTGTCGCAGCATGCAGGACCAATCAGAGGGAGCTCCGATGAAAGTTAATGAACATAAGAAACACAGAGTCAGAGAGAAGAGCAGCAGGAAGCTCAGCTCAGAGTTGTTGGCTCTGACAATTGGAGTTGTTCTGTGATGAAAGAAAATAGCTGCTGTTATGATGGCCAGACAGGCCCCACTAACAGAGAATGCAGCCAGGATGATTGCCAGGACTTCATCATAGGAAAGAAACTCCACAGGTTTGGGGAAACAAGCGTCTCTTTGTGCATTAGGCCACAATTCACTGGGACACGGGGAACAGTCTGGAGAATCTGAATAAATTTTAAAAAATTGTTTAAACATAAATCACACTGATTCACTAATATATTTATTTATGTGCAACGTCATTGATTGTACCTGTCGTGTTACTAATCTCTCCTTCAGGACATGGTATACAATCATAGCAGCAGATGGGTTTTCCTTTCTGCAGGACTTTATGAGTTCCTGGAGGACAACTCTCAGAACACACCGATACTGGGAGCTTTTTAGAAACACAGGCAAAAAATATGTTTTCTAATCTACCGTCACTAATGAAGTTAAGACATCTTAATTTGAACAAATTTGAACATAAACCTTACTTGTGTGCCACCATCCACCCAGGTTATGTTCCTGTTGATCTGAAACTCCTGTCCTTTAGGCAGTGATGCATCATAGTACCCTACTGTTACCAGATCAATAACTCCACTCTCACTCTTCTGCCAGTTGACCAGCTCATAAAAAGCTACAGGATCCCCATTAGCATCAAATGATACAGGATAGCCGTTATGGGAAATGTTGATTTTCTTCATAACAGAAATAAACTTGGAAAAGAAGAAACAGTAGGACAACAAAATAAAAACTAAAGGCCAGTAATTAGTATTTCAGCAAACCTAGAAAAGGTTTGATGAGAACAAGAAGTCTCCTGAATGCACTACGTAGTTATATTTACCTGTTTAAGCTCAACTCTAATAAATTTTTCACACTTAGTTGTGAAACTTGTTTCGTGACACACAGCATTGTGAATAGCATGGGCTATAGCATAAACAGCCTTGTACACCATGTTAGTGATTCTCAACTGAGATGTATCAGTGTACGGGCTGTTCAGTGTCTTTATGTCTTCGGTTCCATCACACACTCTTTTGTCTGATTTCGTTACTGAAAATACAAGTAAAGACAATCTGTCATCCACTTAACTTATGAGACTTTGCACATGTTCTAGTGTAAGCATGTTTCCTCCGGAAATGTAAAATATAAATGTGTTATCTCAGTCTGAGACGATGAAAATGTTTAACTGTACATTATGTTCATTTGGTCTTTGTTTTTTTTTACTGATGACAAAATGCTAAATATAAAATAAATAGTATTTGACATCAAAAACTGTTTCTGATCATATAATAAACTAATTTTAACTGCATCAAACTGCTAGACAATCAAACAAACAAAAACTAAAAATGCTTTGTTGAGGACATCTTTATTTGTAGTCAATCATAACAAAAATCCTCTCACTTTCTGCCAAGCTGCAGTTGAACGCATCCTCCCAGAACTCAGTCAGCACAGAGGAGGCAGCTGCTTCAGAGGGAGAAAGATCCAGCAGGAACTCTCTCAGACCTGGGATGACGGATCGCTGGATAGCAAACCCGATGGCTCCTGCACAGAGACTGTACGCCATCAGTTGAGGGTCAGTGATCCAGCCCTCACTTCCGATCCACTGACGAGGTGGTGGAGGCTCCTGGGCCAGCTCTTCTAAAAGAACAGTCAAATCTCCAGACTCCATGAATGCAACAATAATCCGTGCTGTTGACCTGCAGGGACAACAAAACACATCTTAACGTAATTATATGAACATAAAATTAAAAAAGTTTATGTTACATTTATTAATTTGACAAATAATCACTGTGGAACAAAAGAAAATATTTGTTGCTGAGAAACTGATGTTTCACCTGTATTTATGTCCACTTCAACATTAAAAGCACAATTAAAATGTCTATTGTATTTACCTGCGGATGACATCAGCTACTCTCTGGATCTTGTTCTGTGAGTCGGTGCGATACAAAGACTCAGAATATTCCACACAGATTCCTTCTCTCTGTGCTGCAGCCAGAAAAGACTTCATCCCATAATTTCCATAATCTGAGTCTGAGCGGACAGCACCTATCCAAGTCCATCCAAAGTGTTTCACCAGCTTGGCCAGTGCATCAGCCTGGAACTGGTCACTGGGAATTGTTCTGAAAAACGTTGGGAACTGCTGCTTATTTGACAGACAGGCACAGGTGGCAAAGTGGCTGACCTTAATGAACAAAGATAATAATTTTATTATTTATGTAGTAGTAAATCTGAAAAAAAAAAACATAAATATACATTTTATTTTATTTTTTTTTAAATAACCTAATTGGAGATTCAGAAATTCTACCATTGGTATGTTGAAAGATCCAATGATGCGAGAAATGCTGATGGAAGGTGTGGATCCAGAGTCTCCAACAACAGCAACCACCTCACCAGAGTGGGAACAGTTGCTGTTACTGTCAAACACAGGGTCCTGACCATTTAAAATTTGAAATGAAATATGTGAAGCCATGAGGACGGATGCACATGAATCATAGAGCTGATATCCAAGTCTGATGCCTGGCAGCAGCTCGGTGCTGTTGTTGATCTCCTCGATGGCAAAGATCATCGCTCGAGAGAAACGCAGTTCTCGGGCAATAAGGCTGCAAAGAATCACAGAGATTGGTTCCATCTTATAAATAATGACATAAAAAGTGGTATTATATGAAGTTTTAATTACAAAATCTGAATAAATTAATAGCAAGAGTGTATGATGTTGCTCTTTTGGTGAAAATCTCTCACTAACCTCCCTGTGCATCTCAGAGACTCAGGCTTGGTGCTGTAGTCTTTAACCCCTGTGTGCAGTTTGAAGTGAAAAAAGAAAACGCCTCCAATAACAAAGTCTCCATCCAGTGAGAATGCGGGTGAGATAGGGCTATGCTGCAGGCTACATTTGTTTGAGAAAGTCCCGGTATTGACATCAGCATCCGTCTGATCCTTTAGCTGTTCACTATTTTGTTTTACACCATTCCGAACTGCACCCAGCACAACAACAGACGTCAGCTCCAACAAGCACAATATTAAGTTGAGGGCAGTAAAGACAAACCCAGTCTCCATTTCTCACCTGCTTGTATTTAAATGCAGAGGTGCTTTTATTGTTTCATCTACTTCCTGTGTCATACGTCACAGTTTATCACAAACAAGATGATCTTACTGTCACTCCTTTACTGAGTTACATGGGGGCAAAGGACCTCCTAGTGGGGCAATGTTCCCCAAGGATGCCCTTATACGTTTGAACTAGGTTCACTGTTTTTATTGTTTTCCTGAGCATGTGATTGTTACGCTTTCACTGGAACAAAATATTGTGTTTTATTCTAAACCTAATGTTGATCCAGTTTGACTTCACTTCAGTTGCTACACATTTTGATCTTCCATCATTATTCTTGATCTGATGAACTGCGGTCAAACTTCTAACTTCAGCTGGTTTGGCCTCTGCATCACTTGTGTCACGATTCCAGCCCTTCAGCCATCCACTTTAAACCAGATCCAGCATTCCTTGCACCGATATTCACCTTTCTGTCATCACACTCACGCCGTATGAAGAAGTCCACCACAACAATCATGGCTCAGTCAGCGTCCTCTGTGGCCTTGGCGTTTCCAGTTTCGTGTCAGATCGAACGGCGCGTCGATTAGTAGCTTTTTTATTTTCCTTCCATGCATTTACTTCTCCAGAGCATCAGCTTGATGGGTCACATCGAGCGCCAAAAGCGTCTGCGCTCACCTTGCTCAGTGGCTTCCTGGCTGCCGTGCCTCGTGATTCACGCAAGGTGGTCACAGCTGACATCCATTCCTGTCCAGCTCCCAGTTCCATGCCTAACAACTGAGGGCTCCTGTGCCCATCTCATCAAGCTGCACCTCAACAGTAAGCCATTTCTTTAACTTTCTTGAACACCGCCACATGTTTCCCTACGAGGACTGCGCCGATGTTTCTAGATTAACTGAGTGCCAGACATCTTCCATCGCAAGCACTCCCACATTTGGGTCTTGTCACATGCCACAGCTCTCCTCACCGCTCACCATGATGTGCCAAGTTGAGCAGCCTGACAACTTGATGAGGTGGTCGGACTTAAAATTGTGTACTTTGAGCAAATTTGCTTGACCGTTGGAGTTGAGTAGTGCATAGTCTCAGTCCACAATACAGGTCTCATGGACCCCTAATTTATGGCTCGTTGAGCCCGAGCGACCACTGTTTTAGGGCCCCTGTGGTAAAAGGAACCCAGGTTACAAAACCTTGTGGTTCTTAAAAGATAAATGTTGGTATCAGTTATACAAAAGTTGTCTTAAAAACCTTCCTAATGTCTTCATTTTAATATAATTTGTAAAAAATTGTTTAACTCGTAGGTCGCCATTGTTGTTAGCGTCACTCTGGGTAATGGCGTCATATGGTTGTATCTTGGTTGCACCAGCCGGCTTTGCGACCCTATAGTGACTGTTCAGCGACATCAACATGTCATCTGTTCGGCCTTTTCAATTTGAACCAGAGCAAAACGCTAATGAGGACATCACTGACCATGTTTCACAAAACAAGCATCAAAATGAAGAGCAAGAAGGGCGGGATGAAGCGAGAGCAGGACAAAACCGGTGGCAAATGCATCTCCGTGGTAACCGAAAGGGAGAGTGCTCACACTTTTGTCAGCAGAAGTTAACGGTAAGCTATCGTGTGATCAAACGTATTCAATTATGAATGATTTTGGAGATTTTTAGCATCCAGAGCTGTCGTGTGCTTTATAGATGATTAGGATATTCAGTGAAATGACTTTAATCACTTTGCAGATATTATATACTTGGAGAACACTGTGTTGCTACACTTACTGCTTGTTTCACTGACGGGAGAGGTGAATGTTCAGCTTCATCCGTGATGAGTGGCGTGTCCGATGGATCGCTGAATGTGACAGAAGAGCCAGCTGCAGGAGCAGGTTGTCGGCTCAGGAGAGCGTCCAGCGTCTCTTGTCTCTCCGAGTTCGTTTAGGCTCCTTGTGTGAGAAAATGGTCGGTAAAGCATTTAGTTTCCGCCTTCTCATACCCAGCTGCTCCGGTGAGCTCTTTAAGTTGCTGTGGTCAACTATAAGCCTCAAATGCATCAGGAGAAAAATGCTGGGACCTTTGGGAAGTTGTGTCCGTTCACAGGCATCTTCCCACTGCTTTCTCCTCTTCTTGCCAGTGGGAAAGCTCTGTAAACTCACATCGCTCTCCATGTTGCCCTCTGACTGGAAATCGCATCCAAAAGCAGCACAGTGCTGCATTTTACTTCATTATTAACACGGTGAGCACATAAACAAACACTAGCATCAATAGCTATTCTTCCAAGAGCAACCAATATACGTCATTACCCCCAGAATGCATTGTGTGCGGAAAACATGGCGTCCTACGTATGTCAAAAAATGCACTAAATAGTAAAGATTTACAAATAAACAGCAATATTTTGTGTTTCTAACAACATATTTTGGGACTACAGAAAATGTGTGGCTTATCAGGGCATACATGTCCTCATAGCTGGAGTTCCTTTTAAGACTGACCGTAATAAAAGGCCACTCTAGATGTACACTCTGTCCGTATTTAAACTCTCACTATTACCTGCTGAACTTTCTCAGTGGCATTTTTGCTAAGTCTACATCTTGGGTTTGGTTTATGGACAGAATTTCTAGGCGCAGCCGTGGTGTGGAGTGTGTCGAGTTTGGTGGCAGGAGAATCTCGTCTCTGCTTTTTGCGGATGATGAGGTCCTCCTAGCTTCATCCAGCTCTGACCTTCAGCTCTTGCTGGGTAGGTTCACGGCAGAGTGTGAAGCGGCTGGGATGAGGATCAGCACCTCCAAATCTGAGACCATGGTTCTCGACTGGAAAAGGGTGGCTTGCCAACTCCGGGTCGGGGGAGAGGTCCTACCTCAAGTGGAGGAGTTTAAGTATCTCGGGGTCTTGTTCACGAGTGAGGGTAGGAGGGATCGGGAGATCGACAGGCGGATTGGTTCGGCGTCTGCAGTGATGTGAACGTGGAGCCGATCTGTCGTGGTGAAGAGGGAGCTGAGCCAGAAAGCCAGGCTCTCGATTTACCGGTCGATCTATGTCCCAATCCTCACCTATGGTCATGAGCTTTGGGTAATGACCGAAAGAACGAGATTGCGGATACAAGCGGCCGAAATGAGTTTCCTCCGTAGGGTGGCCGGGCTCAGCCTTGGAGATAGGGTGAGGAACTTGGACATTCGGGAGGGACTAGGAGTAGAACCGCTGCTCCTCCGGATCGAAAGGAGTCAGTTGAGGTGGTTTGGGCATCTGGTCAGAATGCCTCCTGGCCGCCTCCCTGGGGAGGTGTTCCGAGCATGTCCTGCCGGCAGGAGGCCCCCGGGTCGACCCAGGACATGTTGGAGAGGTTACATCTCCAATCTGGTCCGGGAACGCCTTGGGGTCCTGCCGGAGGAGCTGGTGGAGGTGGCCGGAGAGAAGACGGTCTGGAGCTCCCTAGTTGGGATGCTGCCCCCGAGACTCAGACCCGGATAAGCGAAGGAAGACGACGACGACGGAGATAGAACACGGTCTAGAATCCTCTTATGCTGTCATCATGAGTGGCTCTGTCTTGACCTTCTGTCAGCCTAACAGTAGCAGGAGCAGCACCTTACTTCAGTATGAGGCCCAAAGTGGCAGTGTATAGTTTCCTGGTGCTAATGAGCAGTATATACATTTCAGGGTAGTTTTATACCATATTGCCACAATTGTCACTAGTTAAAAATATATATATTATGTTTAATGGTGTTACTTATGGAGCAGAAATAAATATTGCTTGTTTGTAGGAGACCAACTACTTATTTTCCACCATAATTTGCAAAAAAATTCACTAAAAATCAATCAATCAATAAATCAAAGTTTATTCATATAACACTTTCAATGCAACAATGTTGCCCAAAGTGGTTAACATAAAAAATTTAAACAGTCAATAAAAATACATAAAACAAGCACAAAAATAAACGAAACACAACAAGTCCTAAAAACAGGACCACCCTGTCAGCCCAAGGTGTTAAAAGCTTTGGAGTAAAAATAAGTTTTCAGTAACTTTTTTAAAAATAGCAACAGATGCCTGCCTGGTGACTGGTAACATGTTCCAAAGAGTAGGTGCCACCACTGAGAAAGACCTAAAACCTCTTCTCTGTAGCCCAGCCCAAGGCACATTCAATCCAAGTTGGTCAGCTGACCTCAGTCCACAAGATGGAACATAATGCACGAGAAGCTCAGATAGATAGACAGCTGCAAGGCCATTTAAACATACGTATAAACCAAAACCAAAACCTCCAGTTGCACACAGAACCAAACCGGAACCCAATGCAGAGACGAAATAACTGGACTGATGCGATCAAATCTACAAGTGCTGGTCAAAAGACGGGCTGCAGCATTGTGAACTAGCTGCAACCTAACAATTCACCTTTGATTAATAATGTGGTAAAGACTATTGCAATAGTCTAAGTGAGAAGTTATAAATGCATGTATACGTGTCTCCAAATCGTTCTTATGCAAAAAAGACTTCACCTTGTAAAGATTTCTCAGCTGAAAATAGGATGATTGAACAACATTATTGAAAAAAATCAAACAATGTGATTTTTTTTCTCATTTTGTCTCATAGTTGAGGTATACATGAAAATTACAGGCCTCTCATATTTTAAATCGTGAGTACATGCCTCAATTGGAAGCTGCACAAAGTAATTTGAGCACCTGGTTCTCCCCCACCTCAAGACCCTTCAGAGCACCCCTCCTGCAATTTGCTTACAGAGCAAGCAGGTCTGTAGGTGATGCCATCAGTATGGCTCTACACTTCATCCTGCAGCATCATAACTCACCGGGTACCTATGCCATGATCCTGTTTGTGGACATTTCTCTGCCTTCTATGCAATCCTCCCAGTCATCCTCCAAGACAAATTGCTCCAGATGAACATACCTGACCCCATCTGCAGGTCTCACTGACAGACAAGAAGCAGCATAGATGAGTTGTTGGGAGATTCTAAATGTCCTATGACTGTGACTCCACGTTCGCATGTTGTTCAAACTACGGCTGTTGTTGTTGGTGGATGTTGGTTGGTTAATACTCCTGCTCTTGAGGCGGATGTTTTCTATGAGCGTCATGGCGTGTCCATGCGTGTTGTGCTTCCGTCCCAAACCCTATGGGTGACAGTTCCACGTGGTGCTGTGGCCCACGTAGGTGAGGTCTCTCTATATTACTTGGATCCTGGTGAGCATAAGTCTGTTGTGGAGTTTTCTCCTTTTTATGATAACATCTCCTTTGTTCTTTCTCCAGCTAGGGTGGATCGTGTCACATTCAACGGTCCGACAACTGTTCGGGTTGGTGCGGTAAACAGGGTGCTGCGTGAGTTGTAGGCAGATTCTGGTCTCAGGTTTCAGCCAGTGTCTTACTCCTGGTCCTCTGCTGATTCTGTCGTGCTATTCACTGCATGCTTAAACCTTTGTTTGTCTTTGGGGTTGTCGCGGTTCCTGTTCCGTCACTTCTACACACGGTTGACCTCTCTAGTGGACTCAGTCTGCAACGTCGGAGGCCGCCTCTCTCGAGCTCTCGTGCCAGTAGTTCGTGAAGCCCCGGCTTCCCAGGTGCCTCCGCCTGCGCCAGCTGGTCCTGTACCTCCACCTGCGCCGGTCGCTCCTGTACCCCCGCCTGCACCTCCTGTGCCTCTGGTTAGACCTTCAACTTCAAAAGGGGGGTGATCTCAGTTTTCCAGGGTCGCCCCTCTAACAGTTCTCTGTTTCGAGTTACTCAAGTTTGTTTGTGTTTGTGTGTGTGTGCATGGTTGTACTTTCTGTCTATACATGACGTGCAGACTTGGGTGACTTGATATGGGCATGCTGTGGGTTCCTGGAGTTCTGTAATGGTTAAGTCTTAACAGTTAAAGGGAGTATTCCACAAACTGTTATGTTTATCCAAATTCCATTTTTGTTTTTATTTACTAATCTCTGACTCCTTATGGGGTGGATTCACATTTAGGTTGATTACAAACATCACTGCTGCTGTTTCGATCGCTAGCTGTAATGCACATAACACACAAGCTTGCCGTCACTGACCCCGCTCCCTCTCCAAGACCGGATCTCCCGACATCACAACACTCAGTCTGACTGAACGCTTCCAAGACAAAAATAATGAAATTATGAAAATAATAACGTGTGTTTGGAGGAGCGTCCTCCGATCCTCTCTGTTAGGTATTTTCATTTTCCCATCCAGGGTTACCTGAAGGGAAAGCTCACCACTCAGGGGTTTTATTAACAAGCTATCAATTTAATTCATACTAATCTTAACAATAAACCATTTAGACTTTGCAAATTGGAGAGAGAGAGAGTGAGAGATAAAATGATACACACGAGTCGGTGGTCTCTTTGCTCTCGTCGGACAAAAGCCCTCTCAAGAGTATTTATTAAAAGACACACAAAAATGACAAAACGCACACACATTTAGGGAAACAAGCATGCGCTGGCACAGGGCGTTCTTACTGATAAGCCAGGACTGGGAAGATGCAAGGTCAATCGCCTGTCTCTTGCCAGGGAAAAATGGGCTGGATGTAACTTTCGTTTAAAATCACACACAATGTATTCATAATTTATCCAACACTCTCTTGTGTGAGCAGGCAATCTCGCTCTCTCTCTCTCTCTCACACTCTCTCTCTCTCTCTCTCTCTCTCTCTCTCTCTCTCTCTCTCTCTCTCTCTCTCTCTCTCTCTCTCTCTCTCTCTCTCTCTCTCTCTCTCTCTCTCTCTCTCTCTCTCTCTCTCTCTCTCTCTCTCTCTCTCTCTCTCTCTCTCTCTCTCTCTCTCTCTCTCTGATCGAGCGATCGGAACGTGCCGCATGACAACCCGCTCAATTAACATAATTCATGGCCCAAATCCAACAGAACCGGTCGTGCTGATTCGGTTCAGGTTCGGTCTCAGGTTACAACTCCAGCGCTCAGCCCTGCAGTACAACATAAAGGCAGACCAAAGTTTCCTACCCGGTAAATGTGGAGAACACCGCTCTGACAGATGTGGATGCTACAACAAAACTACATTCCACTATATTTGATTATGTTACTCTTCTATGATGCAGAATCGTTTATGCCCGCATCTCATGCATTGATTATTTGATTATTTTCCTCAGCTCCATCCTACACCTCCCGGTCGGCCGTGGGGGGTGGGGCGTCCGCGCGGGGTTTGGGGGCCACAAAGAGAGGGTTCACGGGCTGGACGTGGCCCGCGGGCCACCAATTGCTGATCACTGCTGTAAACCAATGGCTGCACTTCCAACCTCGAGTCCGTCGAGCTAATTAAGTTTGCAGATGACGCCACCGTCATCGGACACATCTTGGACGTGGATGAGTCTGCCTACAGAATGGAAGTCAAACGACTGGTGTCCTGGTACAGCAACAACATACTGGTGCTAAACGCCTAGAAGACAGCGGAGGTTGTCGTGGACTTCAGGAAAAACAGCCTCACTCCCATCTGGCAGGAGGCTCCGATCCTTTCAGACTAGAACCTCTCACCGCAAAAACTGCTTCTTCTCTCCGGCCGAGGCAGTGTCAGTGAACCCCAGGGCAGCTGTGGCTACATCGTAGCTCATCCACACCAGGGTGTGAATGTGTGAATGACTGATGGTGTTGTAAAGCGCCTTGAGGGGTTCCAGGACTCTAGAAGGTGCTATATCAAATACAGGCCATTTACCATTTACCATTCTGCCGTCCGACTCGTGAATGACAGTCCTAGGACTGCCCACACCAGTCGCTTTGTTCCAGTCACCTGACCATTTATTGTATTTGCAACTGAACTGTTCGCTCTGATCTGTCTTAAGTATATTAGCCGTTTCTCTAATTATTGCCTCCCTATAATAATATTTTAATGTGCTTATTTGTTATTTTTGCTTCTCTCTTTTTCATTTTTGCACCAAGTAATGCAGCAATTTCCTAATGTTGTGATTTCTCAGGCATATGGCAAAAACCCTTCTAATCTTGATTCTGAATCTGACTAAATAAGTTTGTGCCTGACTGTTTACTTGTGCACTATGAACATTGCACAACCAGGTGAGCTGATATTTTTCTTTGCTCACTGTATTCTAGCCATAGTGTGCTTTGATGTGAGCACCACCTCACCCCTGCCACGTGGACCTCAAGGGATAAACCATCAATCCTGCTCCATGGTCAACTTTCCTCGTGGGGTCACCCATAAAGACAGTGGGAGGGTTAAGTAGATATTAGGCATAGACTTCCTACAGTGTCTACTTAAAACCATTTTCTGTAATATCTACTATAACCCTGAATAAATTAACATCCTTGACTTGGCTTATATTCGAGATATCCACCATTAATGATGACCTTGGTTTTTCTCTTAAATAATACTTGGAACCTAATACAAAACATAAAGTTTTTTTTCTACTGATGCTGCATGGTAGGAGATGGGGTTAGTTTTGGTAACAGATTTTTGTTTCTCTGTATTGTTCTCATGCAGTTCCAAAAGAGATTGAATCCCAGTTATTCTTTCACCCATATGGTATGAAGGTAAGATGATAAATAAAATGCCATAAATATTTTATTTCATTTGAGAATAGAACAAACACTACAGTAATGAGGTATTATTGACATAATGGTATTTTCTATAGGTGCTCTTTGTGATTTTACTAGTGATTACAGAACAATTATTTAAAAAGTGTTGGTAATATAAAAACATTGGGTTCATATCACATATGTTTTAAATTGATGATGTTTTACATTTAATTTATATTCATTAAAGACTTTTTAGAGTTCTTCTGTGGCTGAAATAAGATGATGAAACACTTTGGAGCAAATATACACAGAATCAGTCCAAAACTGGAGGCCAGAATAGCAAATATCTCCACAGCTACAGTAAATTTTCCAGGAGAGCTGACATATGCTGGGATGAAGGTGAGCCACACTGCACAGAATATCAGCATGCTGAAGGTTATCAGCTTGGCTTCATTAAAATTATCAGGTAGTTTCCGAGCTAGAACAGCTAACACAAAGCAGAAAACAGCCAGCAGGCCAATGTACCCGAGCACAGCCCAGAACCCAACAGCAGAACCTAATGCACATTCCAGGATGATCTTCTCCTTGTATGTGCTCAGATTCTTCATTGGGTATGGAGGGCTGAGTAACAGCCAAATTGTACACATCAAAACTTGAATAAATGTGAGAAACACCACAGCCATTCTTTGCTGTGGAGGCCCAAACCATTTCATGACATTACTACCTGGAAGTGTAGCTTTAAAGGCCATTAAAACCACTACAGTTTTGCCAAGAACACAGGAGATACAGAGAACAAAGGTGATACCAAACGCTGTGTGTCGCAGCATGCAGGACCAATCAGAGGGAGCTCCGATGAAAGTTAATGAACATAAGAAACACAGAGTCAGAGAGAAGAGCAGCAGGAAGCTCAGCTCAGAGTTGTTGGCTCTGACAATTGGAGTTGTTCTGTGATGAAAGAAAATAGCTGCTGTTATGATGGCCAGACAGGCCCCACTAACAGAGAATGCAGCCAGGATGATTGCCAGGACTTCATCATAGGAAAGAAACTCCACAGGTTTGGGGAAACAAGCGTCTCTTTGTGCATTAGGCCACAATTCACTGGGACACGGGGAACAGTCTGGAGAATCTGCTAAATCATTTACAGAAATACATCAAAAATGAGCATGTACTACTGATTGACAGGTAAAACAAAATGATCTCACCTGTTGTGTTACTAATCTCTCCATCAGGACATGGTATACAATCATAGCAGCAGATGGGTTTTCCTTTCTGCAGGACTTTACGAGTTCCTGGAGGACAACTCTCAGTGCACACTGATGCTGGGAGCTTTTGTAGAAACATGCAAAAAAAATAAATTATACATATATATAAAGTTTTTGAACTACTGTTTGTGTTGAAGTTATCACACCTTCATTTGAAAAACTCCGAACATAAAACAGCTTACATGTGTGCCACCATCCATCCAGGTTATGTTCCTGCTGATATGAAACTCCTGTCCTTTAGGCAGTGATGCATCATAGTACCCTACTGTTGCCAGCTCAATAACTCCACTCTCACTCTTCTGCCAGTTGACCAGCTCATAAAAAGCTACAGGATCTCTGTTAGCATCAAATGACACAGGATAACCATTTTGTAAAATGTTGATTTTCTTTAACATAGAAATGAACTGCAATGACAACAGGAGAATAAAAGAAAAGAGCAGTAATGAATATTTCATCAATCCTAAAAGGGTTTTATGAGAACCCCAAATCTCTTGAATTTACAATGCTGCTGTAATTACCTGTTTAGGCTTCAATCTAATATCTTTTTCACACTTAGTCGTGGCATTAGTTTTTTGACACACAGCATTGTGAATAGCATGAGCTATAGCATAAACAGCCTTGTACACCATGTTGGTAATTCTTAACTGAGATGTATCAGTGTACGGGTTTTTCAGTATTTTTATGTCTTCAGTTCCATCACACACTCTTTTGTCTGATTCCCTTACTAAAAACAAGAAAAGAAATTCAATTAACCATATTATCTTTTCACATATACCCACACCTTTGGTGTAAGCACACGCCTCCTTGTGAAATGCAAAATATAAATACACATTTTCCTGCCAAAATAAACATAAAACTGCCACTCCAAGAAGTGAGACCTCAAATGAGACAACGAAAAGTTCGGTTTACCATGAATGCATTCGCTTTTTGCATTTTCCCTTGTACCACAATGGCAGATGTCAACAGAGTAGTTTTAAACTGCATGCAACCGCTATACATCACAAAATAAAACAAATGATTTATTGTGGACATTATAAATCCTCTCACTTGTCAAGCTGCAGTTGAACGCATCCTCCCAGAACTCAGTCAGCACAGAGGAGGCAGCTGCTTCAGAGGGAGAAAGATCCAGCAGGAACTCTCTCAGACCTGGGATGACGGATTGCTGGATAGCAAAGCCGATGGCTCCTGCACAGAAACTGTACGCCATCAGTTGAGGGTCAGTGATCCAGCCCTCACTTCCGATCCACTGACGAGGTGGTGGAGGCTCCTGGGCCAGCTCTTCTAAAAGAACAGTCAAATCTCCAGACTCCATGAATGCAACAATAATCCGTGCTGTTGACCTGCAGGGACAAGAAAACACATCTTCAGATTCAGATTCAGATTTCAGATTTATTGGCCAAGTAAAAGTACATTTACAAGGAATTTGTCTTCGTTAGATGTGCGCTCTCTAAAACATACAACAGCCACAATAAATGAGAATAAAAATACCTAAAAACTCATAACACGTATACCCACACACATGTTCATTTACACACACACACACGCATATATACATATATACATACACACACACACACACACACACACACACACACACACACACACACACACACACACACACACACACACACACACACACACACACACACACACACACACATATCCATAAGCATACTGAATAAGTATTAAAAACTATAATACAAGGATGGCAAAATAATCTACAGATTCAGGAGAGAAATGGCTGAAGGAAAGAAACTGTTCTTGTGTCTGGTAGTTTTTGTGTACAGTGATCTATAGCGTCTGCCAGATGGGAGGAGATGGAAGAGAGTCATTATATGAACATAGGAATAAAATAATAAAAAATATCTTCTTTTTTTTTTACCCAGCAACAGTGTTAATGTTACTTTTAGTCAACAGTCATTCCACTGTGAAATTATGAGTAAAGCTTCTTGCACAGATACTAATTCAATCTCATTTCTCTGAGGGTTTACTAGAAGCACAGTCAAGATTTCTGCTATAGTTACCTGCGGATGACATCGGCTACTCTCTGGATCTTGCTGCGCGGGTCAGTCCGATAGAAGGATACAGAGTACTCCACACAGATTCCCTCTCTCTGTACTGCAGCAAGAAAAGATGTCATCCCATAATTTCCATAATCTGAGTCAGAGTGCACAGCACCTATCCAAGTCCAGCCAAAGTGTTTCACCAGCTTGGCCAGTGCATCAGCCTGGAACTGGTCACTGGGAATTGTTCTGAGAAACGCTGGGAACTGCTGCTTATCTGACAGACAGGCACAGGTGGCAAAGTAACTGACCTTAAGGAACAAAGTTGATAATCTTACAAATCTTTTAGTAAACCAGAATAAAGTGTAAGTCGGAGGTCCTACCAGCGGGATGTTAAAAGATCCGATGATGCGAGATATGCTGATGGAAGGTGTGGATCCAGAGTCTCCAACAACAGCCACCACCTCACCAGAGTGGGAACAGTTGCTGTTTCTGTCAAACACAGGGTCCTGACCATTTAAAATTTGAAATGAAATATGTGAAGCCATGAGGACGGATGCACATGAATCATAGAGCTGATATCCAAGTCTGATGCCTGGCAGCAGCTCGGTGCTGTTGTTGATCTCCTCGATGGCAAAGATCATCGCTCGAGAGAAACGCAGTTCTCGGGCAATAAGGCTACAAAGAATCAAAATATTAATGCTGACATTTACCAAAAAATAAAAGTATAAGGAAACAAAAGTTACATTACATGAATTTTAAGTACCAAAATCTAAATGCACAGAGTAACAACATATTTTTAAATTATTAGTAAAAGTGTACTTTGTTATTTAGCAAAAGGGCTGATTATCATTAATACGAACTCAATGTTCCTAACAATGATTTCATCATCATACTAACCTCCCTTCGCATCTTAGAGACTCGGGCTTGGTGCTGTAGTCGTTAGTCATTGTGTGCAGTTTGTAGTGCAAAAAGAAAACACCGCCAACAATAAAGTCTCCATCCACTGAGAACGCAGGTAAGATCGGGCTTTTCTGCAGGCTGCATTGGTTTGATGAAGCCCCAGTACTGACATCAGCAATGGTCTGATCCTCTAAAGGTTCAACTATTTGTTTAAAACCATTCAGAACTGCACCCAATACAACAACAGACATCAGCTCCAACAAGCACACCAATAAGTTCAGGCCTATAAGGACTAACCTGGTCCCCATTCCTCGCCTGCTTGTGTTTAAATAGAAGTGTGCTTTTATTGTTTCATCCACTTCCTTTATTAGATGTCATGTTTATCACAAACAAAATGATCCCTCTCAGGGATCTTTGCTCATTTTTTTCATGATTTGCATGGTTCTCTTTCTTGACCCAGTACCAGTTAGACCATGTTTATAAATGAGAAGTGGATCTCAAACTGTTCTTCTGGATAAATAAAGGTTATATAAAAATAAATAAAGTAAGGCCATGAACATACAGTATATTTACTTGTCCACCTTCTTTTTTGGGGTTTGTTTTAAAAACAAGCTAAATGTTCACCTGTCCTTCGATTTAGGACAGAGGCAGACCGGACATTTGTGAGTTCTGGAGAATCCTAGAACATCCCGTAGGATGATGAATGCCTTTTCTGACTTGACATTATTTAGTTTTAGTTGTATAGATTTGTGATAGTGTTTTTGATGACAACAAAAGGAAACACTGAAAGCACATTTGGCTCTAGACTGGAGTTTATATCAATCCTGAAGTTTGTGACAAATTATTTCTTTTCACATTTTTGAAAATGTTCATTCACTCCGAGTTTATTGTGTAGGCTGAACGTAAATATATATATTTTTTTGACTTTATTTTTTTATTTTTTTCTTCAAGGCACTCGAGGAGTACAGACGCTTCTCTCTTTCGCTCCATTATCTCTTTTTTCCCAAGGCTCTTTGTCCTGTCTTCCCACAGAGCACTTCTCTGCATCTCTTCTGAAAAACTCTATTTTTTACTAACCATGGATTTGATAAACTGGTCATTCAATGCGATCGATGAAGATTTTTTCAACAATGAGAACGGAGCAGGGGGCTCCCACATGTCCACAGGGGACACACCCGGTGGGATATATGTTGGATTCCTGGAAGGAGTGGAAGATCATATTCCTCAGCCAGCTGTCCATTGAGGATATCGAAGACGTGTGGATATTCGGCCTGATGATCACTGGATTTCTCCTGATTGGAGTGGGAGGATATCTGGTTTTCTGGAAATTTGGGAAGACTGGAGCGATTGGAGGGCGACCCGCACCCACAGAAAGCACCGTCCGTGTGGAGACTTCTCAGACTGGGACGTTACTCGAGGTGAATCGTAAGCTGGACAATGTTCTAGCTGCAATACCGGTATTAGTGCGCAAAATTGATGTCATCTCGAAAAGAGTCACCGGACGGTATGGACAAGTTTAAGTTTAAAACCCAAAATTGGCTTCACTGAAGGACTGGAATGATTAGTTTAAAGACTGAAGGCAGAGAGGAAAATTATCTCAGCCTGACCCAAACAAATTCTTGTTATCTGAATCTGATGCCCTGGTAGCCTTGAGCGGTGAGCAAATAAAACCCCCACGAAGGAATGCAGACAGATGCTGTGAAAACCCGACCCACACCCCCCCGCCTACGGATTGGTGGAATTCAGCCTGGCGAGGTCATCAATCTGTAGGAGTCAACGTACTCTTTGCTTCTCCCAAGATCTCCCTCCCACCTGTGACTGTACAGTAGATGAGTGCCGTAGATGGCTGCTCTCGCTGGGGGAAACAGCCCCCCCCCCCCCCCCCCCCCCCCCCCCGCCTTCCTATTGGAGTCACATGTTATGTTGTGTTGTCTGAAGTCTGTTGCATATCTGTTCAGGTGGGGTTTTTTTTTTTTGCAGAGCAAAGCTGCCCTCCTGCTGGAGGGTAACTCTGAAGTGCCTTTTTTCCCTCCACCTGAACCAATCCTCATGTAACCCTCTTATCTCCATTAAGGTAGCTCGACTCGGTTTGCGAATCACCACAGTCAACAATTCTTGTCATGTGTCTTGCCCATGTATGTCTGATCTCTGAATTGTGTGTACTGAAACTCTAATTTCCCTCTGGGATTAATAAAGTATTGATTGATTGATTGATCGATTGATTGATCAATTGATTGATTGACTGATTGATTGATTGATTGATTGATTGATTGATTGATTGATTGATTAAATATAGTGACCTACACCGATCTCCTGTATTAGCGTCTGATAGAAAGTAGACGATGAAAGGCTAGGATTTAAAAAGCCTAATGAATCTATGTCAAGCTCTCGGGTAGACTGACCCAATTTGGCTTGCATTACGAAAGGGTGTTGTTGGTTTAGAGTCAAAGAAACAGCGGGGAACTTCTCAACTAGTAGAAGCTAATTGTTAACATTAGTAATTCCACAGCGCAGCAGATCCCTCCCTGGCTTGTGTTATTTGTGGGGATCAAACTTCTACATTGGACAGCAAAGGAGTGGTAGAGTCAGGTTGATTTTAGCCAATCAGAAGCAAGATGTGCAAATGTCAGGAAATGAGACTCCAAATCTTGTCTTTGAAGGTTGTTTCTCCTCCATACACAATTGCTATATGTATTACAAATGTTGAGAAATAACTTAAAACCTTTAAATATTACAATAAATAATAAATTACTTTTTAAACACTGAAAATTGTTTGTCAAATATAACACAACAGTAATGACGAGAAAATAAAGTCATATCAAATCATTTCTTCTGGAAATTAATTTATGATTATAAATTTATTACATAATAATGTGAAATAAGAATTGGCAATAAAGGCTATAATCTTATTGGCATGATTATTCAATATTATCATGCTGATATTTTACATTTTATTTGCATTCATTAAAGACTTCTTAGAGTTCTTCTCAGGCTGAAATAAGATGATGAAACACTTTGGAGCAAATATACACAGAATCAGTCCAAAACTGGAGGCCAGAATAGCAAATATCTCCACAGCTACAGTCAATTTTCCAGGAGAGCTGACATATGCTGGGATGAAGGTGAGCCACACTGCACAGAATATCAGCATGCTGAAGGTTATCAGCTTGGCTTCATTAAAATTATCAGGTAGTTTCCGAGCTAGAACAGCTAACACAAAGCAGAAAACAGCCAGCAGGCCAATGTACCCGAGCACAGCCCAGAACCCAACAGCAGAACCTAATGCACATTCCAGGATGATCTTCTCCTTGTATGTGCTCAGATTCTTCATTGGGAATGGAGGGCTGAGTAACAGCCACAGAGTACAGATTATAATTTGAACAAATGTAAAAAACACAACAGTCATTCTTTGTTGTAGAGGCCCAAACCATTTCATGACATTACTACCTGGAAGTGTAGCTTTAAAGGCCATTAAAACCACTACAGTTTTGCCAAGAACACAGGAGATACAGAGAACAAAGGTGATACCAAACGCTGTGTGTCGCAGCATGCAGGACCAATCAGAGGGAGCTCCGATGAAAGTTAATGAACATAAGAAACACAGAGTCAGAGAGAAGAGCAGCAGGAAGCTCAGCTCAGAGTTGTTGGCTCTGACAATTGGAGTTGTTCTGTGATGAAAGAAAATAGCTGCTGTTATGATGGCCAGACAGGCCCCACTAACAGAGAATGCAGCCAGGATGATTGCCAGGACTTCATCATAGGAAAGAAACTCCACAGGTTTGGGGAAACAAGCGTCTCTTTGTGCATTAGGCCACGATTCACTGGGACACGGGAAACAGTCTGGAGAATCTGAAATATGAATTAGGAAGAGCTTTAACATTCAGAGAGTTCAGAAAGATTATTTAAAAGTAACACAATGATTTTACCTGTCGTGTTACTAATCTCTCCTTCAGGACATGGTATACAATCATAGCAGCAGATGGGTTTTCCTTTCTGCAGGACTTTGTGACTTCCTGGAGGACAACTCTCAGAGCACACTGATGCTGGGACCTGTATGAGACACAATGGACTGTTTTTGTTTTGCAGCTGACCCTGTTGTAAACTAGTGAACACAAAGCTTCTTACTTGTGTGCCACCATCTACCCAAGTTATCTTCTTTTTGATATTAAATTCTTGGCCGTTGGGCAGTGATGCATCATAGTACCCTACTGTTACCAACTCTATTACTGACTTGTCACTCTTTTGCCAGTTGACCAGCTCATAGAAAGCTACGGGATCTCCGTTCACATCAAATGACACTGGGTAACCATTTGGTGATATGTTTATTTTCTTCAGCACCGAAATAAACTGTGAAGTCAGTGAGACAAAGGGAGTAATTAATTAAGACTTATAGACCTTAAGTACAGCAATAGAATAAAAAAACAGTAAAGATTATTTTACAAACCCAGACATTCACTTTACATTTGGAATTACCTGTTTGGGCTCCAATTTAATGTCTTTTTGACACTTAGTGGTGACATTTGTTTTCCCACATAGAGAATTGTGAATAGCATGAGCTATAGCATATACAGCCTTGTATACCATGTTAGTGATTCTTAGCTGAGAAGTATCGGTGTACGGGCTTTTCAGTGCCTTTATGTCTTCAGTTCCATCACACACTCTTTTGTCTGATTCCACCCCTGAACACAAGTGAATAAAATACTGTTTATTAAACAAATATTTGTTAAATTTGTACCAAAAAATTCTGTTTCAAAATATTGTTTCATGATGCAATTCAAACTGTTTTGGTGTTAAACCTAGTTGCCAGTGAGATTTCAGCCTAGCATAATGCTTGGTAGTTCTTAAGATCTATAAATGTGTTTCATCATAAAATATAAATTCTCCAAATTTGACATCCAGACAACGTAACAAGAAATGGTTTGGGTCATTGATGGTGTACTATCACTAAAATATTCTCACTTTTTTTTAAGCTGCAGTTAAACGCATCCTCCCAGAACTCTGTAAGCACAGAAGAGGCAGCTACTTCCGTGGGAGAAACATCCAGTAGGAATTCTCTCAGACCTGGGATGACAGATTTCTGAATGGCAACTCCGATGGCTCCTGCACAGAAACTGTAGCTCATCAGGTCTAGGTCAGTTACCCAGGACTCACTTCCGATCCACTGACGAGGAGCTGACGGTTCCCGAGTCAGCTCCTCAAGCAACACACTCATTTCTCCAGAAGATGCAAATGCCACAACAACCATTGCTGTTGATCTGCAAGAACATTAAATGTACTGAGTTTATAATATTTTTTCAGTTTTTATCAACTCAGTGTGGAGTGGTCATCATTACAATATCAGCATAGACACCTGCGAATGACTTCAGCGACTCTCTGGATCTTGCTCTGTGGGTTGGTTCGATAGAAGGATACGGAGTACTCCACACAGATTCCTTCTCTCTGTGCTGCAGCAAGAAAAGATGCCATCCCATAATTTCCATAATCTGAGTCAGAGCGGACCGCACCTATCCAAGTCCAGCCAAAGTGTTTCACCAGCTTGGCCAGTGCATCAGCCTGGAACTGGTCACTGGGAATGGTTCTGAAAAATGTTGGGTACTGCTGCTTGTCTGACAGACAGGCACAGGTGGCAAAGTGGCTGACCTAAAGAAAAACAATTTATTGTGGTTTTCATATTTTAACAGAAAATGGACAAATATTCACATCAGATTATTTAACAGTGGAAGGTGAAAAAAAATCCCTCAATTATTAGAAGCAGGGATGTGTATTTTTGAAATTCTGGTGATACGATACACATCACGATACAGGGGAGACGATACGATACGTCACAATATATTGCGATGCATTCAGTCAGACGTTACAAGCAATTTATTTTACTGAATTTATTGTAAGAATGTTCAGTTAACAGTCCAAACTGATACGTAACATGTTTAACATGAGGTATCTGAACCGTGAGGGAGGGATTTACATTTCAATGGTGGAAACAAAACTCGTTGCACACTGCTGCCAACTAGCGGGTGGCGATTGAATTGCACAAAACGAAAAGAAATTACATAAATGTGTGCATGTAAATTCTTTCAAGAATTAGATGCACGGCTTTTGAATATCGATGTAATAATCACAGGAAAAAATCATGATATATTGCCATATCGATATTTCCGATCCACGGCTTTTGAATATCAATATAATATTGCTGGAAAAAATATCACAATATATTGCCATATCGATATTTTCTTACATCCCTAATTAGAAGCATCTTTTAAACTCATTTACAACAAAATCAGACTGCTTACCATAGGGATGTTGAAGGGTCCGATGATGCGTGACATGCTGATAGACGGTGTGGATTCAGACTCTCCAACAACAGCCACCACCATACCAGACTGAGAACATTTGCTGTCCGTGTAGAACACAGGGTCCTGACCATTTGAAATTTGAAATGCAGTATGGACAGCTGCAGGCACAGAGGCGCATGAGTCATAGATCTGATGTCCCAGTTTGATGCCCGGCAGCAGCTCTGTGCTGTTGTTGATCTCCTCAATCGCAAAGATCATTGCTTGAGAAAACCGCAGCTCTCGAGCACTAATGCTGTAAAAAAAATGTATTTGAGTGGTATTTTTACACCAAGTAGATGATAAAAATCAATAAAAATATGACAAGAAATAAAGCTTAATCATAACAACTAATAGACTCTCAGACATAAACCTTCACAAAAATCAAAAAAGCTCAGCTGTTCAAATTTTAGATGACTTGCATCTGTAAAGGCTGCATGCAGGTCAGCGGTTGCTCTTTCAAGCAATGATTCACTAACACATTGGTTCTTTGAAAATATAAAACCAAAACACATAAATGTTTTTATTTTACTTTAGCTAACTTGAACAATTGTTTTAGTTCAATACCTTTCATTTATATGAAAAGAAAATGTGAAATACTGTCATTTCTTGCCCAACATCCCAGCAAGTCTTGCAAAAAACAACATTATTTCATTCATACACGAGGCAATTTCACATTACATATGTAAAAATAAAATATAAAAAAAAAACTCAAGCATCTGATTTTTACTAACCTCCCTGTGCATCTGGAAGGTTCAGGTTTGTTTGTGTAGTAATTAATCACTTTATGCAGATTGTAGTGAATAGAGAAAACACCTCCAACAACCAAATCCCCATCCTTTGAAAATTCTGCTAAACGAGTGCTACCCTGCAGGACACATTTAGCTGATAAATGATCTGCACTGATCCTAGAGCCACTCACATTCTCTGTAGGCTCAAGTTTTTGTTTTGGAAAATTCACAGAGCCACCAAATACCACTGACATCAGCTCCAACAAACTCACTGCTAAGTTCAAGTCAGCAAAGACGGACCTGATCTCCATTTGTCAAGTGTCTCCGTTATGATTTAAGGGTGTTTTTTATTTGTTTATGTACCGCCTCTGTTTTACATCAACTTGTCACTCATCAAAAATAGAAGCTCTCACCCAATGATCTGTATTCTTTCCAAAAACTATGATGATATAATGTTAAATAAAGTTTTTATTACTCTTCTCTGATATTTTCTTTCCTTTTTAATTATTAAAACTTACCAGAAGTACATAAATCCATCTTTAATTAACCCAGTGGTTATCAATACATTTCTGTTGTGCCCCCCGTTTATTGAAATAAAAAAATTACAACAACTTCAAGCTATTTCAAAGTTCAGTTTTCTAAGTCATTCAAAACCTTTTTGTTAACTGTAAACATTAGCTGTCCACTAAAACATCTAATTATTTTTCAAAACCTCATACAACTTTTTTACATTTAACATTTTCTCTGCCAACATTAAACAATAGCAATGATATTTTAACTTATAACTAGAGCTGAAAAGTGCATAACATTCACATGGACTTTTTCTTAAGATTTTGAGTTCAAAAAGCCTTGAACTCTGAAACTTTTCTAACTGTCACATCAGCTTGACCACATGAAACCCTATCCTTCAAAAACGTAGTTCATTGCATGTTTTTCTGTTTTGTATGAAAACATTTAGTTTAGCTGGTGGAAAAGTCCAGGGCCTTGTTAATATAGTTGGGGTGTAAGGTCTCCAGGTGCCGCTTTAACTTGTTCGGTTTCATACTGTCGGCTGCCAAAGTTTTTAGGCAGAAAACACAAATGTGTCTTTCTTCATTTACGACCGTGTTCACGGTAAATCTAAACGCTACGTAGGCTTCGTCAAATTTTCTGGTCTTTTCTTGCCGGCTACTTTCACCACTTGCCTCTTCCATCTCCGCTGATTTTCTTTTCGCCATCATAAACTTGTCCATCTCTACTCGTCCATCGGTGCCCTCACTCTGCATACTGGGGCACCTGTGTGTGTGTGTGTGTGTGTGTGTGTGTGTGTGTGTGTGTGTGTGTGTGTGTGTGTGTGTGTGTGTGTGTGTGTGTGTGCGTGTGCCTGTGTGTGTGTGTGTGTGTGTGTGCGTGTGCCTGTGTGTGTGTGTGTGTGGTCGATCTTTTTCTGCGGGGTAAAAGGGCAGCGTATTGATAAGTTAGAGTGCTGCTGCCACCTAGTGACTGGGGGTGGTTTAGCATTCCATTTTGAACAAATTATGCTAAAAAAATTCTCCTGCATCTCGCGCCCCCCAGATTACCCCCCACCCCCACCCCCACCAAGGGGGCGCGCCCCACTGAATTGAGCTATACTGAATTTCTCAATTTGTGGGGCGCTGAATTAAATACAGTTTTTCAGTGAATGGATTTTTTAAATGTATACATGTTTGTTTTCAGATAGTTCAAGTTATCAATTTAACTTTTTGAACATTTGAGTTATATATATATATATATATATATATATATATATATATATATAAAATTCCCATCTCACCCTCCATGGGAGGTCTCGTCCTTCCAAGCTCAGGTCCTCTACCAGAGGCCTGGGAGCTTGAGGGTTCTGCAGTATCTTAGCTGTTCCGAGAACTGCACTTTTCTGGACTGAGATGTCTGATGTTCTTCCTGGGATCTGCTTTACCCACTCCTCCCGTTTGGGGGTTACTGCCTCAATGACCACGGGTACCACCGATGTTTCCACTCGCCAGGCTTTCTCAAGTTCTTCTTTGAGGCCCTGGTGCTTCTCTAGTTTCTCGTGTTCCTTTTTCCTGATGCTGCCATCACTTGGTATTGCCACATCAACCACAACGGCTGTTCTCTATTGTTTGTCCACCACCACAATGTTTGAATGGTTCACCATTACCGTTTTGTCAGTCTGGATCTGGAAGTCCCACAAGAGCTTGGCTCTCTTTCTCAACCACCTTAGTGGTATTACCCACTTTCATCTTGGGGCTTCCAGTCCATACTCTACCCAGATGGTTCTGTACACGATACCAGCCACTTTCCCTGCCAGCATCGTACACCCTGCAGTCATGTGGTGGATTGTCTCAGGGACAATAGCCTACACCTTGGGTCTTGTCTGGTGTGGTAGATCTTGGCCTCTGTTGCTCTGGTGTTCAGGGCCTGTTCCTGTGCAGCCATGATGAGAGCCTCTGTGCTGTTCTTCAGACCAGCTCTTTCTAGCCATTGGTAGGATTTCTTCATATGTGGTACATCCCATGTAGGGGTTTGTCCTCCCACAATGGTATTTATGTATTATGTTTTTGTATTTAGTAGACGCTTTTGACCAAAGCGACTTACAAGTGATAATCGGCATGTTGCCCTTGAGGCTAACGACAACAACAACAAACACATTTCAGTCAATCGTAGGTGGCAGTGAGGCAGCATGATGAATCCTGGAGAGGAAGGAACACGTAGTGGACAGCAGAAAGGGGGACGGGTGCAGGGAGGGTGCTAGTTTAGAAGATGCTCTCTGAAGAGCAGGGTCTTCAGGAGTTTCTTGAAAATCGACAAGGAAGCCCCTGTTCTGGTAGTGCTTGGTAGGTCATTCCACATTTGTGGAAGGATGCATGAGAAGAGTCTGGATTGTCCTGAGCGTGGTGCAGGCACTGCATCTCCAGCATCTCCTTCTCTGTTCGCCATCATCTGAGACATTCACTGAGCTCATCATCTGTTGGGGCCTTGTCCTTGATGTACTAATGTATCTTACATGTTGATGAGACTTTCTTTGTTTTTTTACATTCTACTGGGTTGGATTTCAATACTTTATTAGATTTATTTCAATTCAATACAAGCCCATACATTTGACAACAGAAAAAAAGAGTAAAAACAAATGTCAGGTAAAATATTTATTCTGTGAAAATAATGGTGACACATCTAAACAGTTTTATATAAACATTGTAAGAAATATGCTATTTTACAGCTAATTTTTGGTCATTACATATTTCTTGGAGTTCTTCCTAGGCTGAAATAAGATGATGAAACACTTTGGAGCAAATATACACAGAATCAGTCCAAACCTGGAGGCCAGAATAGCAAATATCTCCACAGCTAAGTATTTACTTAAAGTAAAGTATTTAAAGGTCATCAGGGGGTCTTTTGTTCTCTCTCCAAGGGGAAACTCCCACTGGGGTTTAAATCTGAGACTCTCCACCATTTGACCTTAGAACTGAAGAAGCCTCTTGGATGAGAGGTGAAACGTCTTCAAGCAACTCAAAGAAGTCCAGACGCTTTTCTTTCAAAGCTCATTAGACTACAATCAACATTGTTTAACTGAACAATCACACGATAATAAATCACAGTGCATTAAGTGCCCACCATAGGCTTAAGACTGCCAGATCATAAGGGACACAAGGAGACACATGAGAGGAGACACAGACGCAGACCATGACAAACTGGTTTCATCAAGAGTAGAAAGTCATCCACTAACTCACGTAGATTACTTAATTTGATAGATTTCTCTTACAGTACAAACATAGAAACTAGTATATTATCTCTAGATGCAGAAAAGGCTTTTGATAGAGTTAACTGGAAGTTTTTATTTGCAACTTTACATAAATTTGGTTTTGGGAACTTCTTCATAAACTGCCTACAAACATTATACAGTTCACCAACAGCACGTGTCAGGACGAACGACCAAATATCAGCTAGCTTCTGTCTTCAGAGGGGGACCAGGCAGGGATGCCCACTCTCCCCTCACTGTTTGCTATTTTTATCGAACCACTAGTGGCAGCAATTAGGCAAACAACAGATATTAAAGGGATAGAGTGTAAGAAAATACAACATAAGATCAGTCTTTATGCAGATGATGTTTTACTCTTTCTCCAGAATTCTCTAACCTCTCTCTCCCATTCAATAGAACTGGTACACTTTTCAAGAGTTTCAGATTACTCTATAAACTGGTTAAAATCCACTGTTCTACCAATTAATTTCTCTTTTGTCAATTTGCTTAATACACATTTGGAATCAGGGAATATCACATCCCTGGGAATTAATGTCTCTCCCAAGCTGGCAGATCTAACCAAACTAAACTACATCCCACTTTTAAAGAAAGTGGAAGATGATCTTGCAAGATGGAAATCCTTACCGATATCACTCATGGGAGAGTTGCTACAATTAAAATGATGGTATTACCCAGAGTAAATTACTTATTCTCGATGATCCCAAACAAACCATCAGCTGACTGGTTTAAATCTCTGGACTCCTCAATTACTAAATTCCTTTGGCAGGATAAACCTCCACGAATTAGCTTAAAATCGCTTCAAAAGACCAAAGACAGAGGAGGACTGGATTTACCCAACTTTTATTATTATTTCTTAGCCAACAGGCTGCAATATATACCAAAATGGTTGCAAGATAACCCACTAGATGAGTCCTGGTTAGATATAGAACAGACACTTTGCAATACGATAGAGCTTTCAGACTTACCATTTATTAACTCAAGCATAAGAAAACATGAAAGCTTCAAAAGTACCAGCACCTCTCTGACAGCATGGTGGGAGTTTCTAAAAATGACAGAGTCTTCACTAGTACCATGCAGACGCGCACCTATCTGGAATAATCCTGACATTTTGCAAAATAACCAAATGATGAACCTTCCAGACTGGAAAAATAAAGGAATCCTATACCTGGAACACATATATGAAGGATTGGACTTCATCCCATCTAACCGAATAGTCTCCCAATTTGGAATGGATAAGAATAGCTTTTTAGAATACCACCAAATTAAATCTGTGGTCAAACAAAAATTTAAGCTCAATAAAATAGAATTACAAACACCACCAAGGGTATTTGACTTCTATAATCTCAAATCCCCAAATTACTGTCTAAAGTATGTAAGACATAATGCACCTTTTAAAGAGACAAAGTTCAGTTTTTCCCGTGTGGAAACATCCATCAAAATGTTGTTGAAAATTAATAAAACGATGCCCAGGAGTTGGAAAATATTAGCAGCTTTGTAACATAATCATAATCAGGTTTGCGTGATGGCAGGTCTACGTTTCTGGGGGACGCAGTATTAGTCGCCGTGTTTCCTTCTACAGGAGCCTATGCGGAAAAACGTATTTACTGATCCCCTCTACGGGAAGTTTAAATGAACACACTAAACGCCACGGTTAGGTGTAGCTACAGGAGGATCTTTGTTGACATCTATTTTCAACTTTGTGTGAATGCACGAGTGGCTGTGTAACAAAACAAATATGTCCTTTTATCAATACACAACGGACACTTTCACAAGGCTTTACGGGCAAAATCCCCAATATATAAACACTTTAACGTCTACAGGAGGATGTTTAGAGAGAAGCTTAAAATCTATTGAAGACAAAACTGAAGTTGTTTAAATCCTATATGAGCTCTGGGATGATGAAAAGCGGTCTGATTTGACAGTGTGATTTTCACATGGGGGTCTTTGGGCTGCTCTTTTGGGCCATTCCCATCTGTACCGGGTCGGCCCCAGCCTGGCCCGGTTGATTCCACACATCCTTGTCTTAAGTCCATGTGGGCTGATTCTACCCACCAATCAGAGGCTTGCTCTAATGGAAGGTGTGTATTTGCTGTCAGCAGTGGGTGTGTTGGCCCTGGTCGGCCTGAAGCAGACCCCCTCGAGAAGAGGGCTGAGAATGAGCCTTGGTTGGCCCGGAAAAATACCAGGCCACCCAGATATGTAAACAACCTACGCTGCCCGGCCCGGGCCGACCTGGTACAGATGGGAATGGCCCCTAAGTCTGATCCCTCAGCTGTTTTATTTTTTATTTATTTATTTTTTTTACTGTGATTGACATTTCAAATAAGACTCGAGGAGGGCTGGATTCTGGAAATAAAATCATCATTTGGTTTTGAATCAAGGCTTTGAAGATTCAAATCTGTATTGGAGAGCTTCTGATTACATTCTCAGTTTCCCAAAGTGCTATTAGAGAAAACTCTCATGAATATAGAATAATTTTACATGTCAAGAAATAACTCAGCGCTATTCATTGTAGTGTCCCCTCTCAATTAATTTTATTATGTTCAAATCAAAAGCTCTAAAATGACACAAATCAAGAATACATTCTTTAATATTTGTAAATGGCTGTCTATAATTATTTATTTGGTTTATGAGGATTACAAAATTGCCACAAACATGTGTGATATAATTAAAATCAATTGACATGGTGTTATGGTCACCCTGCCATCTTGTTTTCCAACCTCTGAGATTTGCAGTTAATTTTTGTTCATCAAATGTTTTTTAGAGTTCTTCTCAGGCTGAAATAAGATGATGAAACACTTTGGAGCAAATATACACAGAATCAGTCCAAAACTGGAGGCCAGAATAGCAAATATCTCCACAGCTACAGTCAATTTTCCAGGAGAGCTGACATATGCTGGGATGAAGGTGAGCCACACTGCACAGAATATCAGCATGCTGAAGGTTATCAGCTTGGCTTCATTAAAATTATCAGGTAGTTTCCGAGCTAGAACAGCTAACACAAAGCAGAAAACAGCCAGCAGGCCAATGTACCCGAGCACAGCCCAGAACCCAACAGCAGAACCTAATGCACATTCCAGGATGATCTTCTCCTTGTATGTGCTCACATTCTTCATTGGGTAGGGAGGGCTGAGTAACAACCACACAGTACAGATTCCTACCTGTATGAATGTAAATAGCACTACAGTCAGTCTTTGTTGTAGAGGCCCAAACCATTTCATGACATTACTACCTGGAAGTGTAGCTTTAAAGGCCATTAAAACCACTACAGTTTTGCCAAGAACACAGGAGATACAGAGAACAAAGGTGATACCAAACGCTGTGTGTCGCAGCATGCAGGACCAATCAGAGGGAGCTCCGATGAAAGTTAATGAACATAAGAAACACAGAGTCAGAGAGAAGAGCAGCAGGAAGCTCAGCTCAGAGTTGTTGGCTCTGACAATTGGAGTTGTCCTGTGATGAAAGAAAATAGCTGCTGTTATGATGGCCAGACAGGCCCCACTAACAGAGAATGCAGCCAGGATGATTGCCAGGACTTCATCATAGGAAAGAAACTCCACAGGTTTGGGGAAACAAGCGTCTCTTTGTGCATTAGGCCACAATTCACTGGGACACAGAAAACAGTCTGGAGAATCTGAAAATAAAAGATTCATAAAGACATTTAAACTCTGAGATAAAACATTTTGAAAATACCCAAAAATTTCCGTTTTACCTGTTGTGTTACTAATCTCTCCTTCAGGACATGGTATACAATCATAGCAGCAGATGGGTTTTCCTTTCTGCAGGACTTTATGAGTTCCTGGAGGACAACTCACAGAGCACACTGATACTGGGACCTGTTAGATGGATGAAAATCAATTTTTTTTTATTAAATTGTTCATCAAATCTTTTTTATACACAACACCAGGCTACTTACCTGTGTGCTACCATCCATCCAGGTTATGTTCCTGTTGATGTGAAACTCCTGTCCTTTAGGCAGTGATGCATCATAGTACCCTACTGTTACCAGCTCAATAACTCCACTCTCACTCTTCTGCCAGTTGACCAGCTCATAAAAAGCTACAGGATCTCCATTAGCATCAAATGACACAGGATAACCATTACGGGAGAAGTTTACTTTCATCAGCTTAGATAGTACCTAATGAAAAGAAGCAATAGCCAACTCAAGACCAAATGTTTAGAAAGTTGTATTGAAATCACGTTCCTGCAGACAGACCTGCTTGGAGTCTAGTCGAATGTTTCTGTCACACTGAGTGGTGAGGTTGGTTTCCTGACACGCAGCTTTGTGAATAGCATGAGCTATAGCATAAACAGCCTTGTACACCATGTTAGTGATTCTTAACTGAGACGTGTCGGTGTACGGGTTTTGGAGAGAATATATGTCTTCAGTTCCATCACATGCTCTCTTTTTTGGATCAGCAACTAAAGATGAATTAAAAGACAGAAACAGAATAATCTATCGGTCAAACATATTTTTCTCTGTGTTGGTTTCATATATCAGGATCACAAGTACTTTGAAGTCATTTGATTGCAAACAAAAATACATTTTAAAATTAGGTTTTCAGTTAATACAGTTTCTGTGAAAATATCGTGTTATGTGTTGCATGTAGTACTTTGGAAAAGGTCATTATTTACATTTCAAATCATGGCAATTTCTTTTAGGTAAGATTCGGAATAAAGTACAATAAAATGCTTAGGAATGGAGATAATTTGAAGAGACGTTGCAACCAGCTCCTTTGTTACGACCCTTTAGCTCCTAGATGTAGCCATTTACAGCTGGAGAAACATCACTTGTATTTGGCATTTCCTCAAAACTCCACATTTACCTATACGACCTGTCATTTTATTGCAACACTGAACCAAGATTGGTTTGTTTGACTTAATATTTAAATGTGGACACATTCTCACCTTTTGTCAAGGTGCAGTTGAACGCATCCTCCCAGAACTCAGTAAGCACTGAAGAGACGGCTACTTCAGAGGGAGAAAGATCCAGTAGGAATTCTCGTAGACCTGGGATTACAGACTGTTGAATAGAGACTCCAAAGGCTCCTGTGCAGGAACTAAATTGTGGGTCAGTAATCCAGCCCTCACTTCCTATCCACTGACGAGGTGGTGGAGGCTGCAGAGCCAATTCTTCTAACAGAATACTTATGTCTGCAGAGGATGTAAAAGCCACAACAACCATCGCTGTTGACCTGTACAAACAAAGCAGTTATTTAACTTTATTTATTTTATTTAAAACACATTTTGGTATTCTAAATAGTTTTTTCCCCTTTTTATTAGGATTTTCAATGTACTTAGAATCAATGCTGGTTTTTTAAATTTGTTTACTCTTTTATTATTTACCTGGCCAATAAAAAATCTTGTTCAAAAGCTGAATTCTTGCTTTTACCTGAACACGTTACAGAACATTTTCACAAATTCACATTCACATTGTAAGATGTACAACTAAAATCAGTGATGCATAAACCTGCGGATGACATCAGCTACTCTCTGCATCTTGCTGCGGGGGTCGGTCCGATAGAAGGAGACCGAATATTCCACACAGATTCCCTCTCTCTGTGCTGCAGCCAGAAAAGACTTCATCCCATAATTTCCATAATCTGAGTCAGAGCGGACAGCACCTATCCAAGTCCAGCCAAAGTGTTTCACCAGCTTGGCCAGTGCATCAGCCTGGAACTGGTCACTGGGAATGGTTCTGAAGAAAGTAGGATGCTGCTGCTTGTCTGACAGACAGGCACATGTGGCAAGGTGGCTGACCTAAATGATAAAGAAAACAAGGAAACAAAAATATGTAGGAATATATTTGGAATATCATTGTCAGGATCACTTTTAGACTACTTACCAAGGGGATGTTGAAGGGCCCCATGATGCGTGACATGCAGATAGATGTTGTGGATGATGAATCACCAACAGCAGCCAGCACCACACCAGACTGGGAACAATTGCTTCCTTTGTAAAAGACTGGGTCCTGTCCATTTGACAGTTGAAATGCAATGTGTGTCACCACAGGCACTGAGACACATGAGTCATAGATCTGATACCCAAGTCTGATGCCAGGCAGCAGCTCTGAGTTGTTGTTGATCTCCTCAACAGCAAAGACCATTGAGCGAGAGAAGCGAAGTTCTCGACTAACAATGCTGCCCAGAATCAAAGAGAATGCCAAATACAAAGTTAAGTACAGATGAATAAAAGCAAAACAAGAATATGAATTGTACATTAAGTGGATGCAAAAAATATATATTTAAATTGGAAATCACACCACAACTCAAACATTTCAAAGTACAATTTAGCTATTTTACATATAAAAGCACATTTTATTCTCTCTTAAGCGAAATAACAGTGTATTAAATGTGTGTTTAACTATGTCTCCCTTTTGTAAAAACTCTTCATGTAATTCAAGATTTTTTTCTAAGTCCCAGCCAACATCAATGTATGACACGATTTCCAATCAAATACATCTACAATTTGATTCAACCAGTCCCCCCCTTCCTACTAACCTCCCTGAGCACATCGGTGACTCAGGCCCAGCGGTGTAGTTATAAATCACTGTGTATGGTTTGTGGTGGAAAGCGAAAACGCCTCCGATGATTAAGTCTCCGTCCTTTGAGAACGCAGGTAATCGAGGAGAACCCTGCAGGCGACATTTTGTTGGATTCTCTGTAGGCTCCAGCCTTTGATTCAAACCAAAAGCACCACTTAAAACAGCGGTCAACAGCCCTAACACACTCAGAGCTAATTTCAAGCAAATTAAGTCAGATCTCACTTCCATTGTTTGACTGAATGTGAGTGAGGCTTAATCAGTTTATAAAACTTACCTGTCATACATCATGTGATCATTCATCGAAAAAACACGCCCACACCAAAGTATTGATGACATAATTTATTGGCTTTCTAAAGGTCTCCATATTTAATATCATCTTTTTTTCCCTTCCATTTGATTTTTATTAGATTAAAGGTGTAGCATGTAAAAATACAATGAGAATTTTACAGTGAGAGAATCCCTAAAGACTCTAATGTTTCAGTCATTTTGGAAAGAAGGTTATACTGAAACCTATTTCATATCCAGCTGGCTGTGGGGACTGTCAGTTTTTCTTCTTTCAAAACAAAAGAAGGAGGGACGTAACTACTGTTTACCACCAGTGAGTGTGGGGTTGCCATGTCTTCTGTGAGCTAATACTGCAGCGCCGGCTATTGTAATTTGACGACGGCCGGCAAAAAGCTCCAGAGTTTTCTAAAGTGGTTGCAGTAACCAACCTTTACCACAGGATTTCAATTTTATTTATTTATTTATTTATTTTTTCATTTCTACATAATGCACCTTTAAAGAGTAAAAGTTCAGTTTTTCCCATGTGGAAACCTCCATCAAAATGTTGTTGAGAATTAATAAAACGATGCCCAGGAGTTGGAAAATATTAGCAGCTTTGTAACATAATCATAACAATCAGGTTTGCGTGATGGCGGGTCTACGTTTCTGGGGGACGCAGTATTAGTCGCCGTGTTTCCTTCTACAGGAGCCTATGCGGAAAAACGTATTTACTGATCCCCTCTACGGGAAGTTTAAATGAACACACTAAACGCCACAGTTAGGTGTAGCTACAGGAGGATCTTTGTTGACATCTATTTTCAACTTTGTGTGAATGCACGAGTGGCTGTGTAACAAAACAAATATGTCCTTTTATCAAACCACAACAGACACTTTCACAAGGCTTTACGGGCAAAATCCCCAATATTTAAACACTTTAACGTCTACAGGAGGATGTTTAGAGAGAAGCTTAAAATCTATTGAAGACAAAACTGAAGTCATTTAAACCCTATGAGCTCTGGGATGATGAAAAGCGGTCTGATTTGACAGCGTGATTTTCACATGGGGGTCTTTGGGCTGCTCTTTGTCTGATCCCTCACCTTTTTTTTTTTTTTTTTTTAAACTGTGAATGACATTTCAAATAAGACTCGAGGAGGGCTGGATTCTGGAAATAAAATCATCATTTGGTTTTGAATCAAGGCTTTGAAGATTCAAATCTGTATTGGAGAGCTTCTGGTTACGTTCTCAGTTTCCCAAAGTGCTATTAGAGAAAACTCTTATGAAAATAGAATTATTTTACATGTCAAGAAATAACTCAGCACTATTCATTGTAGTGTCCCCTCTCAATTAATTTATTATGTTCAAATAAAAAACTCTAAAATTACACAAATCAAGAATACACTCTTTAATATTTGTAAATGGCTGGCTATAATTATTTATTTGGTTTATGAGGATTACAAAATTGCCACAAACATGTGTGATATAATTAAAATCAATTGACATGGTGTTATGGTCACCCTGCCATCTTGTTTTCCAACCTCTGAGAATTTGGAGTTAATTTTTGTTCATCAAATGTTTTTTGGAGTTCTTCTCAGGCTGAAATAAGATGATGAAACACTTTGGAGCAAATATACACAGAATCAGTCCAAAACTGGAGGCCAGAATAGCAAATATCTCCACAGCTACAGTAAATTTTCCAGGAGAGCTGACATATGCTGGGATGAAGGTGAGCCACACTGCACAGAATATCAGCATGCTGAAGGTTATCAGCTTGGCTTCATTAAAATTATCAGGTAGTTTCCGAGCTAGAACAGCTAACACAAAGCAGAAAACAGCCAGCAGGCCAATGTACCCGAGCACAGCCCAGAACCCAACAGCAGAACCTAATGCACATTCCAGGATGATCTTCTCCTTGTATGTGCTCAGATTCTTCACTGGGAATGGAGGGCTGAGTAACAACCACACAGTACAGATAAGAACTTGAATAAAAGTAAGAGACAAAACAGTCAATCTTTGTTGTGGAGGCCCAAACCATTTCATGACATTACTACCTGGAAGTGTAGCTTTAAAGGCCATTAAAACCACTACAGTTTTGCCAAGAACACAGGAGATACAGAGAACAAAGGTGATACCAAACGCTGTGTGTCGCAGCATGCAGGACCAATCAGAGGGAGCTCCGATGAAAGTTAATGAACATAAGAAACACAGAGTCAGAGAGAAGAGCAGCAGGAAGCTCAGCTCAGAGTTGTTGGCTCTGACAATTGGAGTTGTTCTGTGATGAAAGAAAATAGCTGCTGTTATGATGGCCAGACAGGCCCCACTAACAGAGAATGCAGCCAGGATGATTGCCAGGACTTCATCATAGGAAAGAAACTCCACAGGTTTGGGGAAACAAGCGTCTCTTTGTGCATTAGGCCACAATTCACTGGGACACAGGAAACAGTCTGGAGAATCTGAAAATAAATGACAAAAGTAGTTATTATACAAATAACACTGACTGAAAAATAATCCCAGATGCTGGATTTTACCTGTCGTGTTACTAATCTCTCCTTCAGGACATGGTATACAATCATAGCAGCAGATGGGTTTTCCTTTCTGCAACACTTTATGAGTTCCTCTGGGACAACTGTCAGAGCACACTGACGCTGGGACCTGTTAAAAAGAAATAAGGAAAATGTGTAAATCATATTTGTTTATTTTCCTGTTTGCTGAATCTTTTTTGCAGCAACTAATAAAATACGGATAATCAAAGTAAAATTCAGCCATTGCTTATTACTTGTGTACCACCATCCATCCAGTGTATGTTCCTAATGATATGAAACTGCTGCTCCTTAGGCAGTGATGCATCATAGTACCCTACTGTTGCCAGCTCAATAACTCCACTCTCACTCTTCTGCCAGTTGACCAGCTCATAAAAAGCTACAGGATCTCCGTTAGCATCAAATGAAACAGGGTAACCGTTACGGGAAAAGTTGACTTTTTGCATTTCAGAGAAAACCTAAAAGAAAAAAAGTGGAAGAATAAACAATGATCAGTAAACACTGATTTAGTTCACTGAATGTGTTACATAATCTCTGGGATTTGCTTTTGTCTGCACTGACCTGTTTGGACTCCAGTCTGATATTTTTGTCACACTGAACAGTGAAATTAGTTTCCTGGCACACAGCATTGTGAACAGCATGAGCTACTGCATAAACAGCCTTGTACACCATGTTAGTGACTCTTAACTGAGATGTGTCAGAGTACGGGTTTTGAAGTGTTTTTAAGTTTTCATTGCCATCACACACTCTCCTATTAGGATCCTTATCTAAAAGAAAGATAAAAAAAACAAATGAGAAAAATAAATGTTAGCTGCACAATCAACAAGTAGCTTTCTGTCAATGCAGATTAATGCCTGAATAACACATTTACATGTATAGTATAACATAGGAAACTAAAATAATAATTATTCTAAAATCACAGACACTTTTAACAAAAATCAACCTGATGCTCTGAGTAAATTTTTGGGTTTAACTTAATCACAGTAGCTAGTGGCTGCACTGAATTGTGGGTAATAATATGAGTATTTATTTTGTATTACAAATGTTCATATTTTATTTAATAAGATTCTTACTTTTTGTTAATGTACAGTTAAATGTGTCCTCCCAGAACTCAGTCAGCACCGAGGAGGAGGCAACTTTACTGGGAGAGAGATCCAGTAGGAACTCTCTCAGACCTGGGATGACGGCTTTCTGAATGGCAAATCCGATGGCTCCTGCACAGAAACTGTAGCTCATCAGAAATGGGTCAGTAACCCAGGCCTCACTTCCTATCCACTGGCGGGGTGGTGGAGGCTCCTGAGCCAGCTCCTCCAACAGAATACTCATGTCTCCAGAGGATGTGAATGCCACAACAACAACAGCTGTCGATCTGGAAAAACAGTCATCCGTGAATCTTTATAGTTCAAATAAACTTTCATTTGTTCTTATTAATAAATCTATATTGTATGCAAATATCATAACTTATAAAATTGCCACAATGTGTAAAAAAATTTTTTCAGTAACCTGCGGATAACATTAGCTATTTTCTGAATTTTGCTACGTGTGTCAGTCCGGAAGAATGATTCAGAATATTCCACACAGATTCCCTCTCTCTGGGCAGCAGCAAGAAATGTCGCCATGCCGTAGTTTCCATAATCTGAGTCAGAGCGGACAGCGCCTATCCAAGTCCAGCCAAAGTGTTTCACCAGCTTGGCCAGTGCATCAGCCTGGAACTGGTCACTGGGAATGGTTCGGAAAAAAGTTGGGTACTGCTGCTTATCTGACAGGCAGGCACAGGTGGCAAAGTAGCTGATCTGTAAGTAAATAATAAAACATATCGTTTACATAGTTAAGAACAGTAATCAACTACTTTAATCAAGATTTTGCAATCAATTCAGACGGCTTACAAGAGGAATGTTGAAGGACCCAATGATCCGTGACAGGCCGATGGATGGTGTGGATCCAGAGTCTCCAACAACAGCCATCAACATACCAGATTGAGAGCAATTTCTTCCTTTGTAAAACACAGGATCCTGACCGTTGGATAGCTGAAAGGCCACGTGTGTGGACACAGGCACTGCCACGCATGAGTCAAAGATCTGATATCCAAGTTTGATTCCTGGCAGCAGATCTGAGCTGTTGTTGATCTCTTCAACGGCAAAGACCATGGCACGAGAGAAGCGCAAACCCCGGGCGTTAAAGCTGCACAGAAATAATCCGGTGAGTGCCCCGCTTACTTTAAATTGAAGAGAAAAATCTAAACAATTACATAATGAAAAATGAGGTAAAAAGGGAAAAGAACCGAGCAGCAAACTATGTTGTTTCTTAAATCATCATTCAACCAAACGTTCCCATTAAAAAGGACATCTAATTACCGACTGGAGACCTCAAATGAGAGGTCAAACATGAAAAGTGATTCATTTACAAGTTTTTGGTTTAAACACAAAATTAGTCATCAATACATCACAAGACATAAAACAAATTCTTTGTAGTTAACAAATAGAAAATTAGAAAATAAATCCATTAAAATCCTACTAATAAAAAAAATATGAGTAAGAACTTTTACGGATGACATCCCAACCATTTATACTTCTCCTTTCCCATTTACCTCCCTGTGCACACTGGGGACTCGGGCCTGCTGGTGTAGTCATAAACGACTGTGCGCATCTTGTAATGTAAAGAGAAAACACCTCCAAAAGAAAAATCTCCATCCATAAAAAATGCTGGTAAACGAGGGGTACCCTGTAGGCTACATTTGATTGATGAAGTATCAGTACTGATTCCAGAACCAGTCAGAACTTCTATGTACTGAATCCTTTGTCTGTGGATATCTAGAGATCCACCCAAGACAACAACCATGATCACCTCCAATAAATTCACTACTAATTTCAAGCCAACAAAGACAGATCTGACCTCCATTCTATAACAGCTGATATCTGGATGTAGGCGTGTTTTTGCTGGTTTATGTATTCCACTGGTAAACATCACATGATCATTTGCCAGTAAAAACACACCCTCACCCAGGGATTTTTGATTGTATTATAGTTTTATGTAAATCATTAACCAGCAAAGACAAGAGAGATTTTACATTATAAAACTAACATCTAATTAGTATTTTTGATAAAGTATTTTTCTCTGTAATTTACTGATTTTGATCTGCTTTATAGATGGTAAATGGCCTTTATTGTCTAGTGTCTTCTTGAGGTTCTACAACGCCCCAAAGTGCTTCACAACTCAATCAGCCATTCACCTGTGCACCCACATATTCACGAGCTGGTGGGGTGAGCTACGATGTAGCCACAGCTGCCGTGGAGAGCACTGACAAAGGGGCCTGGGCTGCTGAACACTGGCACCACCGGTCCCTCTGACCACCACCAGCAGGCAAGACGGGTTAAGGACACAACAGCAGCATTCTCTGGTCAGAGCCGGGATGGAACCTGCAACCTTTTGATTACTGGAGAACCGGCTCTACCTCCTGAGCTACAGCTGTCCTTATGGGCTCTGAACTGTGGAAAAACAGACACTTTTTCAATGGAGATTTGGGAAGGTAAAGTCAGAGCAGCTGCAGCTGTGCACATGAACAAAAATCTGCTTCTTGGTCTGGAACCTGAGGAACAAATACATTTGGCCAAATATTTTGTGTTTTGTGGATTTGGAGAAAGCGATCGACCTTGTCCCTTGGTGGGCCCTGTGGGGGTACTCCGAGAATATGGGGTTCCCTGGCCCTTTAAGAGGGACTGTTATGGCAGTTTCACATCTGGGCCAGCACGGACCGGGCTGGGTGGCATCGGTCCCAGTCCCATACTGGTAGGGTTTGTTCATACACAATTTTCCACAACGGGGAAATCTCCAAGCATGTGGACGGTGCAAAAGGCACGTGGAAAATCCGTGGTGTCTCCCTTAAATGATGGCCGTGCAACTCGGGGCATGACAGCACTGTGTGTGTGTGTGTGTGTGTGTGTGTGTGTGTGTGTGTGTGTGTGTGTGTGTGTGTGTGTGTGTGTGTTTGTGTTTGTGTGTGTGTGAGGAGAGACGGAGAGCTGCCGCAGCTTCAGTCAGAGGCAACGTTTACTTCACAGTACCCAGAATGATAAAGAGCCGTGCATGCTGGTTGATTCTATCCACCAATTGGAAGCTCCCCCTAACGGTAGGCGTGTATTGGAGCAGGCCAATTGGCTGGCATTGGGTGTGTTGGACCTGTTCAGCCTGAAGCAGACCGCCTTGGTTTGTGGACTGAACAACCAACCACCTAGATGTGAACAACGTAAAAGCTACCCAGTCCGGTCCATGCTGACCCAGATGTGAAAGCACCGTTAGTTCCCTGTATGGCCGGTTCATCCGCATTGCCGCCAGTAAGTTGGGCTTGTTTCCAGTGAGAGTTGGGCACTGCCAAGGCTGCCCTTTATCACTTCTTCTGTTCCTGACTTTTATGGATAGGATTTCTAGGCACAACCAAGCTGTTGAGGGGATCTGTTTTGGTAAAAGAACGAACAACTAAGCCCTTCAGGAATACTTCTGAGTTAAAAAATGCTCATGAAACACGTAATCAGGTAGGCAGGTTTTAACGTTGCAAATCTGCAACGCCTGCCTCCAGAGGGTTAAAATGCATTACAAATTTTGTGGAGAGCAGGCTTTCTCATTTGCTGATCCCAAGCTCTGGAATTCACTCCCCTTTACATGTGCAGCAGGCCCTGTGAATAGCTGTTTAAAGTATGTTCTCAAAGCCCACTTTTTGTGTCTAAACCAGAGTAAAATGGAGGCAGTGTTGTTTGGCCCATATGGTTGCACTGATGCCTCTACGATGGACTGTAGTGATTTCAGTTCCCACTTGAGTATATCTTTGGGTGAGGATTGATAATGCCCTTTGCTTTCACAGTCACGTAAATGGAATTGTGTGTTGTTCTATCATTTTCAAAGCTTGTCCAAGCTAAAACCATCCCAGTCAAGAAGTGATCTTGACACTGTAATCCATGCATTTGTTACTGCACGCCTGGAATTTTGTAACTCCATCCTTTTTGGTGCAGGTCAGGGTACTTTAGCTTGATTGCAACTTGTTCAAAATGCTGCCACTAGATTGCTGGAGGGCAAGCGAATGTTTGAGCATGTGACACTGATTCTGGCAGCTCTACATTGGCTACCATTAGAATTTCTTTAAAAAAATAGCATTAGATTTTAAAACTTTGAATGAGTTGGCCCCGCCTTGTTTGGCGTCTTTATTACAGCCGTTATGGGCTCGACACACGGGAGGCGACAGATGACCGCGATCAGCGAAATTTGTCGCTGTCGCTTTTATTACCTGTCACACGGGAGGCGATCCGCGGCAGCGGCCAGCGGCAAAGCCGTCTACGTGTTCTGTTGCATGGCGAAATCGAAACTTCCATTGTTTTGTTTGGCTGTGTCACGTTGGAGGGAATTAAGGTTATTTAAGCGGTTCAGAGTTAATAATGCGGTAGATATGATGTTTCACAAGGTGCTGCTAGAGTTATGTGAAATCTTACTTCTGATTTTACTATATAAAACATAATAATTATCAACTTCTCCTCCATGTTTGCTCGGAGATGTGCGGAGCATTATGTCCGCTCATTGGTCAGTGACTGAAACCTCCGTTGATTGGTCCTCGTCCGAGCGACGAAAAGTTGAAAATGTTTCAACTTTCTGGGATTGCGTCGCTGGGTCGTCCGTGCACAGCACGTGCACAAGTGCAAAATTTCACACTCACGTTTTTCGCGTTTCGCTTAGTAGGAGAGAGACCCGCGATTATCGCTTTGTCGCGCATGTCTCATTGAAAATGAATGGAGGAGAAACGATGTCGCCTCCCATGTGTCGAGCCCATAAGTCCTGGCTCGGATGCTCTGCTCAGAGAACCATTTGCTGCTCTCAGTCCCAACATCTCATTTAAAGATAAGGGGGGGGGGGTCGGACTTTCTTGGTGGCCAGACCAAAGCTATGGAACATGCTTCTGTTGATTCTACCTACATGGCCGTTTTTAAAACAAGGCTCAAGACCAACTTCTATGAGGGGTTTTAACTTTGTGTGTTAGCTTTTATCTGCTCTTATTGACTTGACTATTTGTGTTCTTGTGTGTGTCTTTTATGTTTGTTTTTATTTGTTTATGTCTATATAGGTGGCACATTCTATATCCGTAAGGTGCTATATAAATTTTTGTTGAGTTGATCATAAATTATAATTTAGCTTGTAATTTTTCATCTTTTATGATCTGTCCCATTTGTGTGTTTTATTTGTTTATGCTTTGCTGCACAATCACCTTACTAGGCATCTTATCATTATCGACTTTTAACCTTCTTATTAGTTGTTTTAGATATTCTTCTTTGATCTGTTTCTTTTAACATATCAAGTTCAAAGTCAAAGTCGTTTTATTGTCAGTTCTACCACATGTGCAAGACAGACAGAGAAATTAAATTGAGTTTCAGTACACACAATTCAGAGATCAGACATACATGGGCAAGACACGTGACAAGAATTGGTTACTGCGGTCATTCGCAACACGAGTCGCGCTACCTTAATAGATGAAAGAGGAATTGCATGAGGATAAGTTTGGGGGGAGGGAGAAAAAAGGCATACCAGAGTTACTCTCGACAGGGCGTAGCTGTACTATGCAAAAAAAAACCACCCCAACCTATAAGCACGAACATTAACATTCACAACATGAGACTCCGGTAGGAAGGGCGCGGGGGGGGGGGGGGGGGGGGGTCTGCAGCATCTGTCTGCATTCCTTCCTTCGTGGGGGTTGTTGGTAGCAGCTTCAAGGCTGCCTTGGCGTCAGATTAGGATAACAAGACTGTGTTTGGGTCAAGCAGAGATAATTTTCCCCTCTGCCTTCAGTCTGTAACTGGTCTTTCCAGTCCTTCAGTGAAGCCAATTCGGGTTATTAAACATCTCCAAACCGTCCGGTCACCCTCTCCGGGATGACATCCATTTTGCGCACTAACACCGGTAACGCAGCCAAGACATTGTCCAGCTTACGATTCACCTCGAGTAACATCCCAGTCTGTGAGGTATCCGCCCGGACGGTGCTTTCCCTGGGTGCGGGTCACCCTCCAATCGCTCCCGTCTTCCCAATTTTCCGGAAAACCAGATATCCTCCCACTCCAATCAGAAGAAATCCAGTGATCATCAGGCCAAATATCCACATATCTTCGACGTCCTCAATGGACAGCTGAGAGAGACAGACGACCTTCCACTCCTTCCAGGAATCGAGCATATATCCCACTGCGTGTGTCCCATGAGAGCAAGTGGGAGCCCCCTCCTCCATTCTCATCGTAGAAAAAATCTTATCAATCGCGTTGAATGACCAATTAATAAAATCCATTTCTGAAATAGTGATTTCCAGAAGAAATGCAGAGAAGCGCTCTGTAGGCAGACAGGACAAAAGAGCCTTGGGAAAAAAAGATAAGGGAGCAAAGCAGAAGCGATTGTGCTTTGTGAGTGCCAAGAGAAGAAGAGGTTGTCATCATGATGGATATTGTTGTCAGTCCTTATGGAGCATCCTTGTTCTTTTGTGAAGCACTTTGCTCAGCTGTCATGATGTTTTATGTGCTATATAAATAAACATGCTATGGAATGGTATCTAAAATGAAAATACTCTGCACTTATTCAACATTTTTATTTCTTACCATTAGGTAAAAGCAAATACTCATTAAAGTCACCCATTGATAAGGGAAAAAATCATTGTATTGCAAGTGTGCAATAATGTATAGAGATGAGACAATTGATATAAAAAAATTTGTGTTATAAATTCAGATTTAAGACAAAAGAAAAATGTTGCTACCATTGTTTTGCTCAGTTTAAGATATTATCCATTCAATTTTTCTTCATTAAAATTTTCTTGGAATTCCTTTCTGGTTGAAACAAGATGATGAAACACTTTGGAGCAAATATACACAGAATCAGTCCAAAACTGGAGGCCAGAATAGCAAATATCTCCACAGCTACAGTAAATTTTCCAGGAGAGCTGACATATGCTGGGATGAAGGTGAGCCACACTGCACAGAATATCAGCATGCTGAAGGTTATCAGCTTGGCTTCATTAAAATTATCAGGTAGTTTCCGAGCTAGAACAGCTAACACAAAGCAGAAAACAGCCAGCAGGCCAATGTACCCGAGCACAGCCCAGAACCCAACAGCAGAACCTAATGCACATTCCAGGATGATCTTCTCCTTGTATGTGCTCAGATTCTTCATTGGGTATGGAGGGCTGAGTAACAACCAAATTGTACATATCAGTACTTGAACAATTGTAAAACAGACCACAGTCATTCTTTGTTGTGGAGGCCCAAACCATTTCATGACATTACTACCTGGAAGTGTAGCTTTAAAGGCCATTAAAACCACTACAGTTTTGCCAAGAACACAGGAGATACAGAGAACAAAGATGATGCCAAACGCTGTGTGTCGCAGCATGCAGGACCAATCAGAGGGAGCTCCGATGAAAGTTAATGAACATAAGAAACACAGAGTCAGAGAGAAGAGCAGCAGGAAGCTCAGCTCAGAGTTGTTTGCTCTGACAATTGGAGTTGTTCTGTGATGAAAGAAAATAGCTGCTGTTATGATGGCCAGACAGGCCCCACTAACAGAGAATGCAGCCAGGATGATTGCCAGGACTTCATCATAGGAAAGAAACTCCACAGGTTTGTGGAAACAAGCGTCTCTTTGTGCATTAGGCCACAATTCACTGGGACACGGGAAACAGTCTGGAGAATCTGCAAGATTTATCAAAGCAACTCATTAGTAGCGAAAAAAAATATAAAACTGCATTGAAAATGTAAATGTACCTGTTGTGTTACTAATCTCTCCTTCAGGACATGGTATACAATCATAGCAGCAGATGGGTTTTCCTTTCTGCAGGACTTTATGAGTTCCTGGAGGACAACTCTCAGAACACACTGATACTGGGACCTATCAAAGAGACACAAAAAGTAACCAAATGAATCATTTTATTTTTTCATAGCATATGCTACACGTTACACATGCAAAATTTCATGATTGTAACTTTTTACTTGTGTCCCATCCTTAATCCAGGTTATGTTCCTGTTGATATGAAACTCCTGTCCTTTAGGCAGTGATGCATCATAGTACCCTACTGTAACCGGTTCAATAGCTCCACTCTCACTCTTCTGCCAGTTGACCAGCTCATAAAAAGCTACAGAATCCCCGTTAGCATCAAATGACACAGGATAACCATTCCGGGTAAAGTTGACTGTCTTTAACTTGGATAAAACCTGAAAAAAAGGCAGGAAAATGTTCACATTCAAAAAGACTTTGAGTACCTTAAGGTTTATTTTCTAATTGGAATTACCTGTTTTGGCTCTAGAGGGAAGTTTTTGTCACACTTTGTGGTGAAGTTTGTTTCTTTGCAGACTGCATTGTGAATAGCATGAGCTATTGCATAAACAGCTTTGTATATCATGTTCGTACCTCTTAGTTGAGATGTTTCAGTGTACGGATTTTTCAGAGTTTTTATGTTTTCAGTTCCATCACACACTCTCTTATTTGATTCTGGACCTTAAAGCAGACACATGGGGATGTTAGTGTTAATTACAAATTGCTGGAGCTTCATACCATTTTAACAAAATGTGCAATTATTTTTTTCATCTGTGTCACAACACTGTGTGGAAACCCAAGCTGAGTTATCAAAATGAGTATCGAGCATTTTTTAATGTTTTTATGTTTTATTTATTTCAAGAGCAAATGGATCATGTTATAGCGAAGGCAACAACCTTACAAACAATGCAAACATGCATCAGATCCTCCTACTTTTTGTCAGTGTGCAGTTGAATGCGTCCTCCCATAGTTCAGTAAGTACATCGGAGGATGCTACTTCGGAGAAGGATAGGTCCAGTAGGAAATCTCTAAAACCTGGGATGACAGATTTCTGAATGGCAACTCCGATGGCTCCTGCACAAAAACTGAAGCCCATCAAGTAAGGGTCAGATATCCAGGACTCACTTCCTATCCACTGGCGAGGTGGCGGGGGGTCCAGAGCCAGCTCTTTTAACAGAACAGTCATATCTGTAGAGTCTATAAATGCAACAATAACTATCGCTGTTGATCTGGAGACACAGTAAAAAGTGGAGTAACATTGAAAGAACATGAAAATCAAAAGAGTGTTTCAAATCTCAAAAATTTGTTTTGCAATTTACACACAAAAAAAATCATAAAAAAATGAAGATCATTAGGTTGATTCAAACCTGCGAATAACATCAGCAACTCTCTGGATCTTGCTATGTGAGTCAATCCTCAATAAGGATACAGAATATTCCACACAGATTCCCTCTCTCTGTGCTGCAGCAAGAAAAGATGCCATCCCATAATTCCCATAATCTGAGTCTGAGCGGACAGCACCTATCCAAGTCCATCCAAAGTGTTTCACCAGTTTGGCCAGTGCATCAGCCTGGAACTGGTCACTGGGAGCTGTTCTGAAAAAGGTCGGGAACTGCTGCTTGTCTGACAGACAGGAACAGGTGGCAAAGAAGCTGATCTAGAAAAAGAAATATAGCACAAAGAACTTTTGATGATAAAAAAGTAGAACTGAAAATTGACAAGGAATTGTTTAGAATTTACACAAATTTAAAATGTGAAAAAAATCATTTTCGTCTTAAAAATTTACTTGAGGAATATTTAAGGACCCGATGATGCGTGAAATGCTGATCGAAGGTGTGGATCCAGACTCTCCAACAACAGCCACCACCGCCCCAGATTGTAAACAATTGCTGCCTTTGTAAAACACCGGGTCCTGACCATTTGATAGCTGAAATGCAGCTTGCATGGCTCCAGGTACAGAACCACATGAATCATAAATCTGATATCCAAGTTTGATGCCTGGCAGCAGCTCTGTGCTGTTGTTTATCTCCTTGACGGCAAATATCATTCCACGAGAGAAGCGCAGTTCTCTGGGAAGCAGGCTGAACAAAATCGGTGAAATATTAAAATTTATATTTAAAAAAGAGCTACTAATAAATCAAAAACAAAAAATGTTGCAAACATATCTGCTCGTGAGGAAGTTAGCAACTGACCTTAACATTTAAACATGGTTAAAAAATACATGAACATCTCATGTCTTTAAAAATACATTTTTTTGTATGATTTATTTATTTATTTATTTTACCATCACAACATTTACGGTACAGTAAATTGTCATTTTTCTGTTGAACAAATCTTTTCCATGTGTTTCTGTTGCTCACCTCTCACATCTCGCCGACTCCGGTTTGTTCATATAAGAAAATTCAGCTGTCTGCAGTTTGTAATGGAAAGAGATAATGCCTCCAATAACAAAGTCCCCATCTGATGAGAATTTAGGCAGTCGAGGGACAGCTTGTAAAGCACATTTGTTAGACAATGAAGCCTCCACACTGACACCAGCTCTACTCAGTGCCTCCGTAGGTTCGGTGTTTTTTTTCAAACCATCCAGAGACCAACCCACAGCAAAAATTGGCATCAGTATCAACAAACTCACAGCTAATCTCAGACAAATGCGAGCAGTTCTGACCTCCATTCCTCAAGAGTGTAGATTGGTGTGTGGGTTTTTATTGGTTTATATACCTTCTGTTGCCCATCAGGAAGAAGGCCTAACTATATGGTGATTCATTGTTTATTGATTCTTCATTTCTGTTGCATGTTTTTGCCTGTTTCCTGACAATTTAACAAAGACAGACAACCAAAAGCGTGTTTGAAAAGTTTTATTTTTGCCTTGACTACTCTCCACATTAAGGTTTGGGTTTTGCAATTTTCCCAGTTACCATTTGGTCATTTTTTCAGTTAGTAATATTATTGGACCGTTGTACTTTCCCTCAGTAATAGGGGAAAAAGAAAACACTACAAAAAATACCAACAACATATGACCATTTTTAGAACAGGGGTGAGAAGGTGTTTTTGAACAACGCATCTTAAGATAAAAAAAATTCAAGCCGCTTCATGAGCACTATCAAAAAATTAAAAGGAGAAAAAAATTCATGAATAAACAATAGTTAAATAAAAGGATATATATATAAATTATACAAAAATCTGCATGAGAGGAAACGGTGGATGAACAGGAGTTCAAAAAAGCCTGCTTGAACAAGTTTTCAGCTAGGGATGTCCCGATCAGGTTGTTTGCCCTCGATTCCGAGTCCGAGTCATTTGATTTTGAGAATCAGCCGATACCGAGTCCCGATCCGATACTTTCAATACATTAAAAAACAAAAGAAAGAAAAGGAAGAAACAGTTCCAGAATGTTCCTTATTTTGACTTTTAATTTTTAACAACAGATCACTTCTGTGAGGTAGCTTGAACAATCAATAAATAACATAAATTCTTCACTTTTGGACTTTATTGCAAATATAAAAAGTCTAATATGAAAACAGATAGTACTTCAACTTAAATACCTGGCAGGGGTCTATTTTGCCTTGGCCCCCAAAATGCTTAGATATGTCCGTGGGCATGGGACGGAGTTTTGAAGATGATCTGAATTGTATTAACAATGTAAATACTACATGCTGATAAATGATTGCTTTATACAGGTACAAACGTGTAGTGGGATAAATCTACCTACTGTCAGACTGGCCGGCTGGATATGGGAGTTGAGCTTGTAGAGAGCGTAGTTTCACAGATGCGGAAGTGATAGCGTCGGTGAAACGCCAGCTCACGGTTTAATCTAGGAATCCCCGAGCGCTAGATGCGTCAATGAAGTGACACGGAGATGCTGGGTTTTCCAGAAGTAAGTAAGAGCACTTACTGTGAGCAGATAGTTCGTAAGATGGATCGGTTGATTGGAAACTCTGATCATCGATCTGAAGAAACGATGACTGAGTGGTGAGCTGGGGAGGCGACTTCCGTGTATAGTCGCGGTTAGTGATGTAGGTGTGACGTGGAGGGAATCCCCGCGAGGAGCATGCTGCGACTTGTGGTCCATGGTGGAGATTGGCAAGCTGGGAGAGGCTGGTTTGGGGACTTGGGTTCTGACAGGACCCCCCCATCCAGGGATGGCTCCTGAAGTCCCAGGGTGGCCCCGGCGGTCCCAGAAGTCAGAGATGAGGGTAGGGTCCAAGATGGTGTGGGCCAGTTCCCAGGAGCGTTCCTCAGGGCCGTAGTCCGCCCAGTCTACGAGGTACTGCCATCCCCAACCTCTGCGACGAGCGTACAGGACGCGTCGGACGGTGTAGATGGGCTCACCATCGACGAAGCGGGCAGGCGGAGGTGCCGGAGCCGGAGGCGGAAGGAGGGAGGATTCCACATAGGGCTTGAGCCGGGAGGTGTGGAAGGTGGGATGAATGCGGAGACTCACCAGCATCTGCAGCCGGTACGAGACTGGGTTGATGACCTTCTGTATATTGTAAGGCCCGAGGAACTGGGGAGCGAGCTTCTTGGATCCGGCACAGAAGCGGAGGTCCGTGGTGGACACCCAGACCTTATCCCCAGGAACATAGGAGGGACCAGGATGGTGTCGGCTGAGATGTTAGTGAGCGTAACGGGCGTTAGCTTGGGTGATGGAACCTTGTGCTTTGATCCAGGCGTTCTTGCAGCGCCTCACTAGGGATTGCGCTGCAGGTACAGCGACTTCGGACTCCTGGTGGGCAACGACCGGGGGCTGGTAGCCATAGCAGACCTCAAAAGGGGACATTTGTGTGGTTGAGGAGGTGTGAAGATTTTGGGGCAACTCTGCCCAGAGGAGGTATTTAGGCCATTGCAAGGGTTGGGCCGAGACAAAGCACCGGAGGTACCGACCCAGCTGTTGGTTAACCCGCTCCTCTGACCATTGGTCTGCGGGTGAGAGCCTGAGGATAGGCTGACCGATGCTCCCATCAGGTGGCAAAAAGCTTTCCAGAATCGGGCCGTAAACTGGGGACCCCGTTCGGAGACCACATCGACAGGGAAGCCGTGGAGGCGCACCACGTTCTCCAGGAACAGTTCTGCCGTGCATCGGGCCGAAGGGAGACCCGGAAGGGCGATGAAGTGGACAGCTTTAGAAAACCGGTCTGTGACCGTGAGAACTGTTTTGAGGTTCTTGACCGGCGGGAGTCCTGTGACGAAATCCAGGCCCACGTGGGACCAGGGACGGCTGGGCACCAGAAGAGGTCTGAGGACACCAACAGGGGCCTGGCTGGGTGTCTTGGAGTGGGTGCAGATGTCACAGGCGCTAGTGTATTCCTTAACATCCCTTGCCATGCATGGCCACCAGAGTGCTCGTTGGAGGAACTTCAGAGTTCGAGAGAACCCCGCGTGGCCAGACAGGCGTGACAAGTGGGCCCAGGAGAGTTCCTCGCTGCGACAGGATGTAGGGACATGGAGACGACCTGCGGGGGTCTCTGGAGGTGTGGGGTCGTCCTGGAGGGCGTTCTGGATAGCCTCCTCCAATGGCCGGCTCAGGTGGGCCAGGAAACGGTGCTCTGGGAGAATTGGTGCGGGCTCGGATGTCGGCGTTGAGTGTGTGAACTGGCGGGAGAGGGCATCAGCCTTCTGGTTCTTTGTTCCAGGGCGGTAGGTGAGATGGAACTCATAGGTCTCGAAGAAGAGGGCCCAGCGGGCCTGGTAAGGATTGTGCTGCTTGGTGGATCGGATGTGAGTCAGATTCTGGTGGTCCGTCCAGATAGTGAAAGGCTGGGTGGTGCCTAGAAGCCACTGTCTCCATTCCTCCAGCGCCCATTTTATGGTCAGCAGTTCACGATCACCCATGCCATACTTCTGCTGGGTGGTGGAAAACTTCCTAGAGAAGTAGGCGCAGGGATGGAGTCTGTCGTCGGGCCCGCCTTGGGACAGGATGGCACCGGCACCGACGGCCGAGGCATCGACTTCGGCCACAAAGGGCACCGTAGTATCTGGATGGCGGAGGATAGGGGCCGACGTGAACCGGGTGACCAGGTGGGGGAAGGCCCGAATGGCATCTGGAGTTAGACGGAACGGTTTGCCGGGTGGGCTTGGTCGGGTGAGGGAGGTGAGAGGTATCACAATGGTGCTGATGTTCTTAATAAAACGGCGGTAAAAGATGCAGAAGCCCAGAAAAGTATATGTAGCTGCTTGTGAAAGGGGCCAGTCATCGACCGCCTGGACCTTCTGAGGGTCCATGGTTATGCCCTGATCCGAAATCATGAAGCCCAGGAATGAGATGGTCAGCTGGTGGAAAGAGCATTTCTCGGGCTTGCAGTATAGGTTATTGTTCAGGAGCCGGGTCAGGACAGCGCGAACTTGGTGGAGGTGTTCGGCCTCAGACTTGGAATAAATTAGGATATCATCCAGGTAGGCAAACACCCACCGGCCCAGCATGTCGCGGAGGACATCATTAATGAGGCGTTGAAATACGTTTGGGCTGTTGCACAACCCGAAGGG